TATCCCCCTAGGAGGGTCTAAAAGCCAATCTTACCCGCGCTGTTCCTCCCCCAAACCCAGAAAGGGGATTGCGGAAGTCAGGGGATGAGATTCATTTGCTCCAGTTCCTGCGATATGACGGTAATTAACCTTACTAATGATGATGCGTTCCACTTAGGAATTTATTAGTAATTATCCAAAGCATGATTCCGTAGATAGAATTTCAGGAGACGCCACCACGCCGATATTGGCCCAGCACCTTACACTACTCCTTCATTAAAACGACCAGTCACTGTTCCCTTGATATCACTGAATCTCACTCGGGTTAGAAACATGCGAGATCTAACCAAATAATAACAACAAAAGCTATCATTACCTAAAGCAGCAATACTGACAGCTGGCTCATATTATTATGTCGCAATATGTTCTCCCTAGAGGGGAGGGCCGCTCCCGAGATCTCGTAGTCCGGTGGCTCTATGCGGTCGACTACTTAGATATCCAGCATGCAGTCCAGATGCAAACACCCTAAAGTTAACAGAATTTCCTTTTTCAAACTCGCCACAAGTTTATCCAAGTAAATTGAAAACATCTTTTAGAGTTCCATTAAGCCCAGGATATTGATAAGCCCTCAGATTTCCTGGGGTTGGCTTATTCATGAAGGGGGTGTCACCCTTTACCGTACAGCTAGGCAGCCATTTCAATCGCCACCCCTTCGCTCCATCACCACAACACACCTCTCCCTCACGGGGTCTATGGCAGATACCCCCTCCGATTGACAATATCTGGTAATATTGAAGTGTTTCTTTTCGGATCGGATGTTTATCCCCTCCTTATGTCACCTTGCGAATCCTCTCAAATACAAGGGAGGGAGGTGCACATTAGTATGTTCTGGCCGCTCAACCCTTCCGAAATCCCCGCTAACCACTCTATAATACACTAGAAACCCTGCTCAGTTGAAATTAAGACGTCAAGCTTGAGCCTGGGTAATCTCAGGGGAGGGGAGTATAAGACCCACTCAGCCCTATCGCTTAACGAGCTGATGGTTTCCAGGCCTCGCACAAACATGCGCAGATGCATACGGCTGCCAGCGGTAAAACACATCATCAGGACATCCTTAGCGGCTCATCAGTGCCAATTTCTCCGGGATAACATTTTCATCACGACAGAAAATTCATTGGCTAGCATCAATCTCCTCAGGATCTTTATCAAAGTGTTAGCCATACATTATCATATTAGGTTCCATTGAAGGAAGCCAGGCTGTGAGCGCTCAGGCCGAAATAATTGCCCCGATGAACTAGTCGGCTCATGAGAATAAGGCATCCTTAGGCCCTAGGTGTCCAGGCAGCCGAATACAGAGGATTGGCCGCATAGAATATTGTGGTTACCTAAGGTTCACCATACAGATGAAAAGTGAAGGCAGTTCAATTATCCCTCCGATGCGCATACCGGTGTTCGCTCAGATTCGTGATTACTTGGTAAGACTCCGAGACTGCTAGGATTGCTCAGGTACTCAGGTACAACAGCGGTCCACGGATATTACCAATGTGTTGGCCAAAGTACTCAATCAGAACTTCCTCTTGGTAGCTATTTGGATGAGAGCCCTTTTCTTCCAGGGGTTTCCTGGCATGTGACACTAAGAGAGGCTAGCTCTACCCTGCAGCTTATTTTCGTGCGAATTAAGTTCTGGTGCTGATCAGCCGGGGCGCGTCGGGACTCAGAGCCCATTGCGCCATAACTTAGGATGTATGAAAGGACCGGGGGAAATACCTCCACCATAGTGTGGAGTGAGAGTCAACCCCACCTATAACTTTACCCACAATTATGTGAGAATAAATCTGGTGGGAAACGTGTGGCTCAATATAGTGAGCTATCCCAGCTCACAAGACCACTCGCGGATAACGACTCCCTGAGCGGCTACTGGGAATGGAATGGAGTCGCCAACGCACCCGGGGTTTCCGCCGCCAGCCAGTGGCAATTATCGCACCCATTGCGACAACCTTCCTATTTTTTTGTTTTACGGATTTTTTTCCCCTTAGACATGGCCACCCATGCCCAACCCTGGAACCCTGTCTAGTAAGAGAGAGGGCCAAATACTTCGAAATTTATGGCCGCCTTGACCACCCGCACTCCACAGATATATGGGGGGCTATCTCCGGTCCCGTGAGCGAGGGAAAGCTCTAAAGAATTCATATCAGACATCCAAAACGCATTAGAGATACACCACGTGCCCCCTTACGATTCACACTTCTCATCATTGGAGTCTCGGATATTCTGTAAGAATCCAAGGACCCTACAGCTTAGCTCGAATGAATGATTGCGGCACACCGATCTATGGAGAGAGTGTGGTTTATTGAGAGAGCAGCCAGATTGGCAAAGAGGCTAACGGAGAGAAAAGGTCATCTTATGACTGACTTCCAATGTTTCGGCAGGGTGCACATTTCGAAAAGCCCTCAAGGAATATGTAGATTTGGGTCCCCTATCCCCTCACTCGCAGGATACGATAGCATGCTCGAGACTACCGAAACCGCATCCCTCAGAATATCATAAATTTCGCACGTCCCCACAGCGGTCTCTGTCATAGGTTTAGGCCCCTATGGCAAGACCTACCGCACATCAGCACAAAGGGACGCACTTAAGGCAGTCCCCACACTCGCCATTAGGTTCATGTGGAAGGCGGCATGACCATCACTCGTGTGTTCTCTTGGGGCGCTGCCTATTGATACTCAGATATTCAAATACCCCGAATTCAGCGTGGGTAGAACGCAGTGATTTCACATTCTACAGGACCAACATTCCCTCCAGGCTAATTGATGTTTGAGCTAAGTCCGATCACTCTGCCCCCTCCCTGGAGGTGGTGATCACCGAGCGAATGCTAGGTTGTAGTCACACCACGAATTAGAAAGGAGACCTACGTGTAGGGGAAACTAACCACCGCCACTAGTACTAGGTGCAGAATCAGACTGGTATCAGAGAACTCGTTGCACATCCTCCAGGTAGGCTTCGGCATTAGGGCAAGAATGAGTCTCTCCCAGAGGCAAGAAAAAGATATGAGATATCTCTGCAAAGCGGGCTCGGGAAGAGCATTGAGTAGATGCGGGGGTAAACAAGCCATGGTGAAAACACATAGTGCAGTCATTGCTGGCTTTTGTACCACGCCCCCGGAGGCTCCCTGATGAAAATCTTCCCATCAATGTTCAAGGGCTCATGGAAGTGGGCAGTGGTGACGTTGACATGGAGTTCCGAATTAGTTATACCATTGCCTCATGGGCATTGTTGGTGAAGCTATGGCAGCCTATGACACTCAGTACAAGACGTCGCTTGGGCGCTGATCATGGTCCTAGCGTAGGCTCAATGCATGGCCTCCGCTTTCTATACCAACAGAAGCAGAGAAGAAGGAGCAGCCGCGTTTACCACACCTGCCCCGTTAATCCCTTAAGTTTTTTCGCCCACGATATATCCCAGCCGGGGACGATCCTTTGGGGCTCGATGGTGACACCTCAATGGTATTGCCCTACTCTCACCCGCTTGGAAGCAATGTGACAGGACTTAGTCTAGTTCTGTTTGAGAAATGCGCGAGTCGGCCGGGTCCCAATGTGCCAAAGGTGGGTTCAGGAATCACGGTCGGAAAATGGTCTCCCCAGCTGTTCCTACACTCAATGCTCAGCTAAAGTACTCCCGCAATAGTCATGACTCACTCATATCAATGGTAACTTATACAATGCTTATGTTGTGTTGAGGCTCTACCAGAATTTTTGAGTTGAGCATGTAATCCTTGGCGGCGGGCGGGCAGTTGGTGTAACAAGGCCTATACTAGTGCTCGAGGGATAGTGTACTGTACCCACGCCAAAAGAATTACATCAGCCTTAAAAAACCACATCCGGTCCCTCGATATGTGTAGAGATCGCGAAAGTTGGAGAACGATCTGAGGCTACAAGTACAGGCACACAGATAACGCATCATTTATCCATTGATCTATGATACGCCTGCCCACCGTCTCTTCAGCCGGCTAACCTAAGACCTCGGTACGGCCCGTCGAGCGGTACTCTAGCGGTACCGACGCCGCTGGCACTCAAATTTTTACAGGTGAAAAACCAGTCAAGTACACCGCTCCGGCAACCATCCCAAGATCCCCCACTACTAGATCAGGTAGGGCACTTGCTAACTTATTCGGAGTGTTAGAGTGTAATCGGTCAGTGAAATCTTAAGGCGTTCAGGCCGAGTAGTGGCCACAGTACACACCATCGCTCCAGCAATTGAGGGAGGGGCTCTGCTGCAGGATGTGTTGTCCGCTCAGTATGAACTATCGCTGTCACATAACTCGCGGGCCAGTAGCAAATCAAACCGTCCTAATACCAGTATGTGAGGGGAATTCAGCCAAGTTATTTATTCCCAGACCCCTCGAAGAACAAGCAAGCGCCTTTGGGGCATAAGTTAGCGGAGGGTTAACGTCCCGCTCGATTATGCACTAGCACGACGTTGGGCAATTATTAGGACGGGACGGGAGAGCACAAGTGAGGCATACCACCGTTTTAGCTGCAAGAAGTCCACTAAGTCGGCAGCATCAAGGACCTCTACAAATGGAGAACAAGAAGGATGAGGCTTCCTCAGATTTCATTCAAACCCCTCAAAAACTGGCTTCTATCACTGGACTGCCGACTAGAGTGATGGAATGAAAAAGGGATCAACAATAGGCGAGCGAGGCGAGTCAGCTCTCAGTGTGCACATCACTCTCCTTGACTGGAATTGCTCTACCCCCCAATGCGTTGGCGTTTTTTTTGTTGACCAACAGTGCCCCGGTCCAGTGTCCTGCTCCCCCCGCAATGTTTATTTAATTCTGAGCTTTGGAGAAACCTATATATTCCCTGGCAACGGCGACGGCGGCAAAGTCTTTAAAAATAAGATCAGACTATCAAAACGCACCCACATTGCCTACGGAACTAAATCCATTCACCTACCCGTCCAGCACGCCAATTGCCAAAAATTGAGAACGACAAAATACACGATACAACACGATACGCTCCATGGCTACCATCACCGCAAACAGACCCTCTGGGGGATACACGGTGTCGGAGAATATTGCCAATCCCGCAGTTAGAAATTGGGTTGAGCAGAAGTACCACGAGATCGGATTCAACGGGGACGGAAGTTTTATCGGGAAAAAGGCGTTCAAAAAGAAGCTACTCCAAGATGCACCGAAAGCTTTTGCAAACACCAATGATTCATGGTGTATTGGGCTCTATGCCAATCAGATCATCAGGTAAAACCCGAATAAGCTTAACCAATGGAGTATAGGGTATGTCAAGGCACTGGATACTGACTGTGCCATGTTATAATTTCCAGGAATATGCGTCTTACCGGAGGAAGCGGTCGTGCGGATACCGACGGTGTGCCAATGGAGTGCTCTGTACGTCTCGGCTTGATATTCCCACTATCATTCCCCTTCCATCCCTTCCCCATGTCTGACCATCTATGTGCGCAGGGATACGATGGGCAGATACATCATCCGTCATACGAACCAAGATCCGAGTGTTTTTCAGCTGCACCCAAATGCTTGGAGAAACAGGCCTTGCTGCCCACATTCCACCACCACCACAAGGCGATAGATGTCTTCAATTACCAAACGCTGCACGAGGCTCTTCAAACATTGGACGAACCACCCCTAGGCGAATGCGAATCGGAGAAGGGTACCCCACTACCAGCGTATGGGTCCATTGCTCATCATCACCAGCAGCTGGATTTTCCGCTCCCCCTTTGTCAATATCAATATGGAATGCCCATAGCCCCACAGCCGCTTCAACCACCTCCGCCCTTCCCCCATGACCCCTCCGCATACAATTTTATGCAGTCGGCATACCCACCCGCCCCACCGTATGGGAGCTTAAGTCCGAACCACGGACCGATATACTCGGCGTACGGTTTGGCTATAGCATATACCCAACAACAAAACCAGCAGCATCAGTACCAGAACCAGCAACCCCCCGTATACACCTCAAATGGAGCATGCGCACCAGCAGCGTATGGGTACAATACGCTTTACGCTCAGCCGCTGTATTCCCAACACCAGCTTCAGCTCCAGCATCACCAACAGCAGTACTCACCAACCTACATCCCACCACCATATGGCTCACCCCCATCCTACGGCTTCACAAACTACATCCTACAAACCACAGCCCCTTGTTCCTCCTCCCCCACTTCTTCTCCCTCTTCTTCTCCGGGCATTGCACCAGCATCAAAGCCCTACCATGAATACGGTGACTGTGGGGAAACCCTCCCACTCCCGGCAATGGTGAGCGCGACCAGGCTCCTGGGAGGCGGGGAGATCCGCTCTCTAGCAGTATTCACATCTGTATTCCGGAACATGCCATACATAACCAAAGACGGACCGATCGCTGGAATGAAGCTCAAGGATCCATGCCTGAATTGCAAAGCCCTCATGCAGACCATCCCATCAGAGATATCGATCCTCGCAGGAACAGGCTCTGGCTGCGCACTCGACTGGATTGTTGAAAAGGCTGTTTCCGCGCCCAGTGCCACCACTGCCGCCACCACTCCTACTACCACAACGCCACCAACACCCATCCCTCCAATGATCGGAAGCACACCAACGCCACAAGGCTACAACCTGATACTATCAACAGCCTACTCCGCAACAAAGCAGGACATTTACCACCTACTGGAAACCTGGACACTGAACAATACAACCCCAACCCTCCCCGCGCACCAAAAGGCGTCACTGGGGACGCTCTGGAGGGAATTCATCCTCCCCTTCCGCGACAGGAATCAAATTTTCAGACTCGACAACGGGGACAACGTAGACCCGAGCATGCACACACTTAACTCCGTAGAATTACCCATATGCACAGTTTTCTGCGCTATCGCCTACGTCTTCTCCGTAGTTCTGCGGCCGGAGGTCTCCCAACTCACTTGCCCCTCCTTCAGCACGGCCGGCGCCAAAGGCGGAGGAGAGGAAGGAGAAGGAAAGGAAGGCGACAGAGACGGTTTCTACCTACCACTCCTGGCGGTACTGGGAAAATGGTGCAGCACCATATGCCCGTGGGCACACCCGAATGTGGTCAACGTCGCCTACTCCTCCCCCCCTCCTACCTCCCCAACGGAGGGAATAGACACCCACTTTGTCATCGGAACCTCAAAGCCAAGTGTGCAAGCCGGCTTCCCCAGCGAAGCGGTGAAGAGCAAGCACCAGGGGCAAATGCGTACTTGGAGGAGAATATTCCTGGAGGAGAGATTCGGCGCACTGAGGAATCCTTGTCCGGTTAAAGTGGCCGGAATGGCCGCCGCTGTCAATGGTGGGAGTGGGAGTGGGAATGGCAGTAATGTGGTTGTGGGAAAGAAGGGATTTATTTGATTTCTATTTATTTATTTATTTATTCATTCATGCATCCTCCTTTTTTTTTTTTTTTTCTTTCCATTAATTTCATTAAATATTTGTACCAATTGTCATTTTGGGCGTGTTCTGCATTCCATTTTATCATACTTTACTCTATTCATCGGTCTAGCCCGGTTCGTCCAGGGATCTAAAAAGAACAGGAATTTGTACTTCCCGTCTTTTTTTTTTTTTCCTCCTTATCGTTCCCCCTCCCTCCTCCCTTCCCCTCCCCCCCCTCCTCCTCCTCCCAAAAACAATCAATCATCCCAATCAAACAAAGTAATCCCACCTGTGAGAGCGATATTCAACTTACCATCACTCGTTCCCGAACCCCGCGCCGTAACCGACGATCCAATACGGCAGTCAGTCAAGTCAGTCAAGTCAGTCAGTCAAGCAGGCTGCGCCATATGCACCAGGCATTCGAGAGAAGAAAAGAAAAGAAAAAGAAAAAACTCCCCACCCGACAGGGGTCAGGAAAAGGATCGAAAAATGTGAGCAATTGCAGTTACAGCTATGACATGATAATCTCCGCAGTCCGCCCCACTCACAGCCAACCAACACTATCATCACCTCAGCACTACCGACCGGTACGGTACAGTACTCGAAAACCTAGCAAGCCCCATAGCTTCGTTCGTTCCTTCGTTTCCCCCCCTTCACAAGACCCGCACCCCGCACCCGCACCCACTGCCATCAATCCAGGTTAGACTAATACCCATAAGATTAAAATGGAAACATTTACGGTTAACCGCAACTCACGTTGCGCAGCCCTAACTGTCGTATTACTGTAGCTGCGCCTGTCAGCCGCCTTCCATGTGCGAAAAAAAAACCCCCGGGAAATGGAAAAACGAAAAAATGGATCGTGAGTTTGGGGCAGGGTGGGTGGTTGTTCTCGGGTGTTAGCATAGGTGAAAGGAAAGGAAACAAATTACTTGTTATTGTAAGGCTGGTATTATTGATATAATGTCATGATCGCAGTGTTTGATAAGGTTTCTTTCTTTTTCGTTGATGGTGCTGGATTGCACTGTACTGTACTGTACTAGTACAGCGCCTACGTCTCCGCGTGTATTGTACAGTACTGTATCGTACTGTTTCTGTATTGTACAGTACTCGTACTGTACAGTATTGTGCCTGTACGATACTTGCGCTATGCTATTCTACTCGAGTATAACAACTTATAATATACTAGTAGCTACTATACTGTTCATGTACTGTACGGCAGTGATGTACTCGTGTACAGTACGTACCATAACCTAATACAGCAGCGACGGTATCATACCAAGGCGCCCACAGGCAGGCAGGCAGTCAGGCAGGCAGGCGGCTGATAGTCTAGATCACTCCCAGGCGTATGACACAATCTAAATAAATAAAAAGTGCGCCCGCGCTGTCATCCCTCCTCAAGCCGTTTTGCCCTAGCAGTTACCGGTTAGTGGTTGGCGTGTAGTATGATATCATAAGGTGCAGCGAGCGCGGGGAAGGGGGGAGGGATATGATACGATATTATGCTGGCCGCCGGTTTGACGCCTGATGTTGTGTGGGAGTTATCGTGCTGTATGTATCATACCGCACCATATCGCACAGCCGCGCCTTGCCATCACGAACGACTAAGGAAACTGGTCCGGGAAAACGGGTCAAGCTTTGGTGTCAAGGACTTTTGAATCCGTGGGTGGGATTTCGGGCGGGACAGCGAGGTTTGAACTGTACGGGTACGGCTGTTGTGCTTGTTGTTGTTGGGCGTGAGGCGGGAGGTATGATACGGTACCTGTGTTCCGGGTAGTTTTGCACAGTAGCTTGGTGGATTGTGGGGAGAGGTTTCCGTATTCCGGTGAGACGCTCCTAGCATCTGGGTAGGCTGGTGGGAAGTGGGGTATTGTATCATGTACAGGTACCCAGTAGGGGGATTGAAGAGTCCTTGGTGGGAGACAGAAGTCATGTGTAATTCCCGGAATATACAGCTGGGAAAGCCCGCCCCATCTCCCACCACCATAAGCATCATAGAAACATTGCAGGTATGAATTGCTAAGACAATGATAGGTACCGTAGAGCCCCATGGTGTAACACAACCATCCGTTCAGCCTCATCACCACATAGAAGATACCAGCAGCAGCAGCGATGCGGTTCACGGAATCCAGCCCGACCCGAAACTCGGATGGTAAGCACTTGGTTCCTCCCCTCCCACTCTAGCTCCCACTCGGCAGTGCCGGTATGCTCATCTTCTCGGCTCCGATGATTCTCCGCAACACACGATAAACGATGACAGCGCGTAGCGGTGAGGGGTAACTGTCCTTCGGCGCAGCAGCAGCACAAAAATTCCATAACCAATTCCCTTTGTAAATTCTCCAATGTCCCAATGATACCGTGATGGATAAAAATATAAACCAGTAAATAAACCCCCGAATTAACCATTGCTACTCCCCCCCAAGAGAGAGAAAAATGGACGCTCAAAAAAAAAACATGAACATAAAAACCCAAAGTAACACCCAAACAATATAAACACCACAGCCACCACCACCACCACCCGCACCCTTTCCGGTCCTCTCTTTTTTCCCTCCCGTATGCAGATGACCGTCAGGGATACGAGCTACTTCGTCGCCGTCCTCGACCGCGTATTAATCTTCTCAAGCATCTCCTTCGCACGAGCCCTGCTCCTCGTAACCGGCCCTCCACCTTCGCCTCGCCTTTTCACCCGCCTTCGCCTCCGTCGATCGCGCAGTATCTCTCCAGCCCTCAAACACTCATCTCCCGCCGTTTCACACCGCTTCAGACGTCTGAATTCATGTTCGTCAGCACCTTCGCGACTACTCGGGATACTCGGTAAGTACTTTGCACTGTCACACTTCGGCCGCTTGGACGGTACAACGTGCGTGTATGGCTGCGCGTAGAAGAATTTGATCGCAGAGGGTGATAGCGAGTCGAGATTTGCGAGGAGTTTTCGGCGGAGAAGGAGGTTTTTTGTTTTTGTCCCTGTTGTTGTTGTTGTAGCGGCGGTGGTGGAACGGGGCAACGAGGTTTTCGAGCCGCGTCTTAGGGAATGGGTGTTTGCCTGGGATTTGAGCTTTAACGCCGATGTTGATGTGAGCGTCTGCTGGGCAGGTGACGGCGGAGGCTTCGGAGGATAATGATTGTAGTGTTGATGATGGTGGTGGTGGTGGTGGTGATAATGTTTTGGCAGAGGTGCGTGAATCATTGTTGGTGGGTTGAGGGGGTTGTAAGTTAGTCCGCACATCTTGAAGGGAAAGGAGCGAGCAAGTTTGGTTTGTGGACTGGATTACGAAGAGAAAATGGGGGGGTTGGGTACTTATTGTGGCCACACAAGGTCGCGTTTTACTTTATTTGGAGTGGCACAACCGCATTGATATGTGCCTTCATCTCAATTCTACGCATTTTGGCCCCCCCCTCCCCAGCTGGAACCATCATCTGAAATCTCATCCTCAATGGCAAAAAATTCTCACCTCTCTCTTCCTCCAGAGCTGAAAACACGATCCCCCGGGCTTCCACTGCCAGTAAACGGGCCTTCCCCCCAACGCACGGGAAACGCCAATTGGGGTTTGAACCGCGTCTGCATCAAGACCAAAAAACCCCCTCCTTCCTTCCTTCCTTCTATCCATCCCTCTCTCGGATCGATTCCCAGGAAACACTCTTCCCCCATCCCCTCAGGATAAATGCGTGATGAGACCCACTCCATGAGTCGTCTCACCAGCCCGGAATCTCTGGTGTCACCCCACGGTGCAGAGATCTATGCCCTACCCTTGAATTCTCTCAACCTTCCCCCCCCCCTCACCTCGACTTCTCACCACCGATAACATGATAGCACACGCTACCAAACCAGCAATCTACGAGTATCGCGTTTGCTCTTCCGATTCTGCCTTGCCCCAAAGCACAATCGGCTGAGATAATACTGCATCATATTGCTCAAGTAAGCGGGCGGGGCTTCGACGCATGGAAGCGAACGTAAGAGAAGGGCACCGCCAGTTTCAGGGAAGCGAGCCGAGTGATCGGCTTTTGTGACCGTTTTGGGCGTAGCACGTGTTGTAAAATGCGGGCCGGCCTCCACCTGCATCAATCTGCCCACTCTGCTGTCCCGTTCTTACTCGTACCGTAGTAGGCTCGTACAGTAGCGAGAAGGTAATTATGATCTCCAGCCCGGGGGCTTTGCGGGGCTGGCTTCAGTACAGTACAGTACCCGGGGCGGAGTGTGTCCTGTCAAGTGACGAAATCACAATGCTCGAGTACCTTTTCCCGAAAGCTCCCGACCCACCAATGTTGGAGCCCTAGAGCAAATGGTGCTTCAGCTCCGCCATGATGACCGGCACATACCCATGTCAGCTATAGAAACCTGACAGCTTCATAAACCGTCCTCAAAAATGCATGGAGGAACGCTAGACGATGGCAAAACCTTGCAATGTTACCGTACTCGTAAGCTATCGGGGATCCAAAGTTATTGTGAGCGAGAGTGTGTTTAGCCCCTTCATTATTTTCTCCAGCCCTTGGCGCAAGCGTAAACCAGTGAAAACACTACAGTCGGGGCCTATCGGAACCGGCGCCGAAAAGGCCAGTAAGCGCGAAACCTACTGGACATCAGGGGTTAGGCGTTGGACGCCAAGAAATGGTTCCACAAAACCGCCGCAAAACGCCACACCGTGTGGGGCTTAGCATGACAGGTAAAGGACAATTCCATTGTACAAGTACAAAGTTATTGTACGAGTGATGGTGCCGGCATTGCCATGTCGATCCACGTGATTCCGAGCCTATTGGATAACTCCTTACCGCTCCTTGCAGCCTATCGAATTCGAGCAGCCAATGCAGTCCTGCGGTCGTTCCTCAAAAACGCTTTGGTGAGTTGTTCGCTCGGGCGCAGCGAGGCCGGGAGCTGTTTCCATCAATGCTTTATTGAGGGGCATTAACGTAGCCCATTGGGCATTAACGTAGCCTGTTACGTCTGGAAGCTGTTACCTGCATACCATTGCCGGATCTGGACCCCCCAGCACCAACAAATCCTAGGGCCATAACAAACGGTATTCTTGTCGGAGATGCGGCGCAAATGCACATCCCCCGCGAGGAAGCTTGGCGATCCTGCACTTGACCAGCGTTTCCCTGTATCCATAGTGTGTAAATAACCAAACACTGTGCCTTGTCGCATACCGCACTCTGGTGCCTTGACACCTCAATGTTTGAGACCGTATTTAACCCTACTCACCTGCTTTTGACAACTCTGAACTGCTTGTGAAGTCTGTCCCGATTCCCCACCGGTGGCTAGCGCTACTGATTCTCTCAAGTGCTGTCTATGTTACGAGTCATTATGCTGCGCGTGGTATCATACTCGAAGGGGGCCGATCCCGCAGACCTTATACCGGTACCCCTCAGAGACTGCGCACATTTCACAGCAGCAACCTCTCCCCTACCACAAGTTAGCTATCTCACCACCATACCGGCACGACATAAAAAAGAGGTAAGAGTACCAGGCAATGAAGCGGGGATTTCTCCAGGCTGTTATCTAACAAATGATTATAAAGCTGAGATAATAGTAAACTATGGCTAGCAGAGCCATCGATAACCCTCTCCCACTCCTCCGGACACCGAATGTCACCTTCCAAACTCTTTCCCCCAGCAACCTCATTTTTGTATTCGCATCGCATCACTATTAGTGAAATAGAAAACCCAGTCCAGCCTCGTCCCTGCCCAGGCGCCCGCTTCCCCTAGGCTCGTGGTGAATTTTCGAAACCCGAAACGTGAGCACGATTCAAACAGCGCAAAAAATTCCTCACAATCCTGCCTGGGAACCCTTGGAGTTTGATGCACATTTGGAGTATCCTATTTCACTCTGGCAACTCTTTATTCGGTAATGGTACCCGGAATGCGCGTCATAAGCACATATGGGCAGCCCTGAACCTGCCTATGACTGCACATCTCTTGTGGGTCGCGAAAAGGGGGAGGGGAGGGTCTCTACATGTCAGCGCTGTTCAGCGGGCTCGCTGTTGAAGCATTGATGTTGTCTGGGGGCTAATGAAATGAAATGTTGTTTATTTTGCACCGAGCAGCTGTCCATGTTTGAACCCTCGTGAGTTCGTGGAGGCTTGATATCTGAGCCGGTAAGTATTCTTAATGTTATCGTAGCATTAGGGTCGGAGGGGGTGCCGCCATATCAGGGAAGGCCAACCTTTTGGCCCAACTTGAACTTGCGGAAGTAGTTCTCAAAAGGCGACTTAGTTTGGGAGCGAAGTTTTTTCCCGGGCTTACCCAGCAAAGCATGTCTCCCGAACACTTTCTGAAATCGTAACGTTATCGGGAGCATCTGGTAAATTATCTCCAGGATATAGCCGAAGCACCCCATAAAGGTGTTGTGGTTTCAACATTCCGGATATCATAGATATCACAGAGCTCAAGAAGTTTGGGCCATTCTTACCCCAGAAGGGGTAACCGTGTGCCCTCAAAGCCCACAGCCGGGGCTTTTACGGTCTCCCGTTTTATGCGATATAGCCCGGTACGGTGGGCTCTGGTCTGGGTCTGTGGCGTGTCCAGGTAGGCGGAGGCGTATATTTCTCTCAGAAGGTGAAGTAGGGCCTCTCTTTCTTCCACAGCAGGACATTTTCCTTTGAATCTCGAGTCACTGGAGGCCATGTCAGGGGTTCCCTCGCTCATGTCAAGACGGCTCCGGGGTATGCTAGAGGTATTACCTATATCTCACGAACCTGACAGATTCCGGAGACTATAAGCCATAGGCTACCATTACTCCAGAAACGCCGATGCCCTCGTGGAGTGCCACTCAATATTGATGCACCCGCCGGTTGCATCTTGGCCACCGTCAATCATGCCCACTGTTTATACCATATAGATCGCCGCGGAGCAAGCTTATCAATGGGCGCAGTTACAGTGGATGCCTGTATTGCATGGTTAGCCTAGTTGAAGTTTCCGAGCCTGCGACACTGAAAGAGTGATGATGCCAGGACCTGGCGACGACGCCTGCCAATGCCTGTAGGCACTAGGCATTTAGAATCCCAGACAGGCGTCAGGTCATAAACCCCCTCACTTGCCCAAGCCTGAGTTATTCCTTGATGATATACAGTCGCTGAACTGATGACTCTACGCAGATAGGAGTGCCCGGCAGGCGCGGCAATGTGCTACCAACGCCTCCGCGGCTCAACCCGGAATACATATTGAGCTCTTGAGGCAACTAATTCCTGTGCTGCTCCTTTGGCGCTGCCTAGGTTGAGATTTGGTGTCGCGCCGTCTCACAGGGTTCGATATTCGGAGGCCCTGTGGGGCCAGTTTATCAAGAGCTGTTGAAATCTGTCCTCCTCATGATAAACTCGACTCCGAAGCCACTAAGAATAGCCTTGGACCCGTCCCCTGCTCGTAGCAGGCAATGAGTATCTGAAAGCGGGGGTTGTGAGTCCATACGGGTGTTCGGAAACGAATGATTCCTTCCGCCATATATCCCACGAAACCCTATTTCCGAATACCCCTTGCGAGTAAGATCTAAAGACAAGAACCATGATACACTCAGATCATGTATGGAGGTCCTGGATATGCATACATCATACCGGTAAATGTATAAACCCGTAGGGTTTGGCCTAGAAATAACACCCTACCAGGGAACATGGGCCCCAGGAGGGTATTTGAGGGAGCACTGCGAGTTCCTGGTCGTTTCACCCTCGATTATGTATGATCAACAGAGTTCCCGGGACCAGCCTCTGCTATTATTAGATGACCCTGTGAGACCGCGAGGTCTTTTCGAAGAACAATAGGCAGTGCTCAACGGTGTAAGGGGATCGAGACGGTGGGTTTTATTCCAGAGGAGGGCAGCAGCGAAGGCTTTTTGTAGCCAGTCTCCGCTTTTCTGCTTCCCTCTTTCCTCTCTCACAAGAGCAACCCCTACGAAGGAGGTTCTTCACGATACCGCCGGTTCACCGAAGGGCGGGACGGGAAAGGTGCCCAAACATCAGTAGGCAGTTATTAAGAAATGGAAAAATTTCCATAGAATGGGAGAATAGCCGTGAGTGAGATAGGGGATGCCATGAAGAGGAATTGAACGCTGTTTGTGGGATGCTGTTATGCTGGTTGAGCCTATAGAGGGAGAAAAGGGGCGTGCGGAAGATCAATCAAGGGCGATGGCGGTGATGAACGCACACATCGCGCACCGCGTTCATACGCAACAATGGTGCGTATCCCCATCGAACCTGCCGGTCGCTAGAGGTACAGAACACCCCTCGTAGCGGCAACACCTCCTCTGACCCCCCCCCCCCAACGTTTCTAGCCATATCTTGTCTGCTGTACTAGTACAAGTGCCCAGGCTACTACCTTGGAAACCAACCAAGCTTAGTTTCGAATCAAAGTCTGCACGGGCCATAGTTTATCACTCGATCATGTCAAACCGTGAATCCCCAAACAGCCCCCTCGCACAATCTTACCATGCACGGGAGTAGTGATGGACACGATCATGCTCGATCATAAAATTTGGGTTATGCTCGATCATAAATAGTGCCCGAGCACACCAAAACTTTATGATCGTGTCCATCACTACACGGGAGTTCCACATTGCAAGTACATGTCAGTATTCACGTGTAACCGAAAAACCCATTATCCTGTTTTTGATATTGACCGTAACAAGTATCTGCAGTCCTGGTACCGGTATACCGCCAGGAGCGCTTGATCTAGCATTGTCTCTCAAGATTGTAAACTCTGAGAATAAAATGTGATATTCACGCTGCCGGGCTTAGGAGGTATTCAGTGCGAGATGGATAGAATGATGAAATCTTTTCAACGAAAATCAGAGGTAACCGCGACTTGGATTTGCTGCTGGCACGTAATCTAGGACATCACCCGGAACCTTCTACGAACTCAAGATCCAACAGAGTGGTCTATCTATATAAAAAAAGGGGGAACGTGAACAGATGTGTTCTCATAAATAGTAGATCGGATACTACTTTAGTTCCCCCAGCCCTCCAATGTCTCTATAGCCGTTCTTGACAGGAAAGCGCCCCCAAGTTGGCTTCATAACTGAGAGACTGTACCAGCATCGGCCCAGCCGCCGGGCTCACCGAGCCTTTACGTTCTGAGGCCCCGTACCCTACGGCAGGTGAATACTGAGTAGAGGGGGGGGGGGCTTGCCAATGACACCATACTTGGCCGCCGTTGAACTGCATCCCATCCTCCAGAATACGGTGCCGTATTCATACATCCCTAGCTTGTACTACCCAGTTTAGTAAACAGCCCTTAATTTCGTAGACTATCGCTAGCTGTGTAAGTTGCAAAGCTGTGGAACACAGAAGCGATACGAGTTCCGCTATCGAGCCCACGTACCGTATTCCCCGTCTCTCGCCAGATTATCAATTCCTGCCGTCTGCTGTCACGGGGTATTACAATACCGGTACACTGTGGTTAGGGAATTTGTAGACACGAGTGCTCTCGGTGCCCCGGAACAGTTCGGGAAATCTCTGCACCAAGCGCACGCATACCCTAAACCTAAAGCGTCGTGATGTCCTGTCGAATGTTTTAACCCTAATTTAAACCTTAATCTTACCTGCGGCGACCCGAGGCTGAACATCGATGTTTTCCGCACCGCCGTGCTACGGCGCCCGCGGTTCACTCCTTTGTTTGAAATCTTTATAAATACCAAAAACAGTGTCAAGCCCAAAACCGGCAACTATATTCCTTTGTCGTGGGCTGCGCAGAACTCCTTGCCTCTCGGTGATTTCCGGACCAGAGCTTTTCATAATACTTGTACCGGTACCGGTACTTCCGCCTCAAACCCCAGCGACTAAAAATGGAGAAAAAATCAGTAGAATTTGCTCGAGCCGGGAATCTTTTACCCCAGATCCATGGTATCAAGCACAGTGCTGCACCAGTAGAGTGCCGGTACCTGTACAACACAACTGGAAGGTCAACGTGCATGTCATAGAAAACTCCGGGCCGAAGGCCCAACCCCTAGAGCCCAGGCGTGTCGAGAATAGATATTGGCAGTATTCCCGTGCGATGCCAACTCCAGAAATTACGACATTTCAATTAAATTTTAATACTGGTAATGGGGGTAACCCTCCACTCACCCCCGTTTTCCAAAGTAAGGTACCGGTACTCGAGTATAGTACGGTATCCATGTCCACCAGGTATGTCATATACGAGCTACGAGCCCCACACAATCAAACCCGGCTCCGTCTCGGATACCCGACCTCCCGAAGGTAAAAGAGGGAAAAAAAGCCTGCAAATCTAGCTCGACTACCGTTCAGTACTTGCGCGATATACGGTACCCCATCCAGGTTGACCCCAACCGACTGGATGTGTGGATTCCGTAGGACTCACGAGGTAGGGTAGAGTACTCAAGCACAGTGCTTGCACGGTACAGTAGGGTACATGTACGAGTACTCACGCGGCCCAGCTGAGGCTGGACACCCAATGCGGCGGTTTGTGTACCGGCACTCGAGCGCAAAGTTTCCAACTCAACTTGCTTGCGCTAGTACGGTACTGGCACAAAAGAAAAAGAAAAAGAAAAAGAGGAAAGCATGAACCCATCAGTCCGATCCCTCGATTCCGATTTGGGTACCGCGAGAACTCTCGTGGTTCGCTATCTTCGGAAAGCCTCTAATCTCCTGATTTGGAGACAAAGCTTTTGAGACGTATTACCGGTAGTGCTTTCCCGACACGGCACAGCCCAATCCCTCGGAACGCGGTGGATCCAAATCGACCAGCCTCCTCAATTCCGTCAACTTGCTAGACCAAACGCATCGCGGGCTGATGCGGTGATTTCCACATATAATCCGAGAACGAATCGCGGGAACTTTCTAGTATTATTATCGATGCCGATGTCTCTTGTCGGCCAATCACCGAATGTACTCGTACGAGTGGGGGTATCGAGGAATGCTGCGATCTGGTGCGGCCTCACTCTAGGCGCCGGTAATCCTCGGAGGTGGAGTGAGTGGTAGGGTACCACGCCAGCAAGTGAGCTATCAGAATTCATGACAAGTCACTCGTGGGGGGGAAGGTGGAGGGTCTTAACCGGCTCGGCCACCCGAGGCGATTGAGTGGGAGAGCTAATTATGGGTGCTGGGCTAGACTCTGTTAGTCTGTGTAGGGGATCATGGGGTCAGGCGTATCTAGGGCGGGATTTCGGGGCGGTGACGGGGCGTTCCACGTCGTTGGGTGTGTCGGAGGAGGAGGAGTAGGAGGGAGGGAGGGGAGAGGGAGACGCGGGTTTAGAGTTTACCTGTCCGTATGCGTTGATTGTATTCTTTCACTCTTCTAGTGCACTCGGAGATCTGCACGAGATATTGCACTTACTGTCCTTCAAGAGAGGTGAACCGCAACGGGTCCACAGGCCAACCTAGGTATTAAGCATATACTCTTAGATATTAATACTATTGGAGTCACTCTTCAGAGCACCACTGCTGGTGCCTGTAATTTCCATAGGGCTATCATGCTGCTATCCTTGCTGCTTCCCGCAGCGCCCTTTCTGTGCCCCCCAGTCTGCAGTCCATCATTGGCATACTTGCAGCAAGCCACTTAACTTAAATGATCCCAGCATCGCAAACCTCGTATCCACTCACACCCGGTTCCCGCAGGTCGGCAAGTCACTCCTCAGTGGCTCTCAGCCCATCCGGCCACCGAGTACGGTACGGGTACTCGAGTAACGACCCCATCCGCTTCCATCCGGCAAGCCCGGTACGACATTCACACCTTTTCCACTCGAAAGCTGTCACCGCAACACTAAGAATAAAGCATGGCCAAGCCTTGATTCGCTTATTTCCTCCTGAATTCCCCCGTCACTCGTTGTCTTGAACATGCCAAGCCTTCTTGTGAACCCAAACGCCCTCTCAGGTACACTGCCACTGTTGCTTTGATTGTACGAGTACGATACCGGTATCTGTACTGTAACACAATTGTACTGTACTCGAGTACTGGTATGTCACCTCACCTCACTCGCCCCCAAATTCATTCCAGTCCAACGGGGAATGCACTGCCCAAGGGTGCGAGTATTGTGCGGGTATCATGCGATGCATGTGTTCCTGTCCCACCACTACCGTGCCATGTGTCGTGACCGGGGCGAAAAGCGAAGCAAGCATGTGAGCAATCGAATTCATTCATTAATTTGGCTCGCGCAGTCCGGGGTTGGATGTTGTCAAACCAAACGTGCCGCACACGGTTGTTTCTGGGGAAGCACATATATATTCACCTTCAGTCCTTCCGTTTTCCGTTCCCCCCTCCCCCTTTTTTCCCTTCCTTCCCTAACCCTCTACGGTTGTCCTGTCGTTTGCACCTGTCGTTCGCTACACGATGAAGCTTCAATTCTATCTACTGGGGGTGGTGAGCTTGGGAGGAGGAGGACTGGCGCTTGCTCAGGCCCCGCCGGTGCCTGAAATCACGTCTCCACCGCCGACTCCGACTGGCGGTTCCACTGCAACGACTAACAGCGTTAGCGGATGTCCGAAGAGTATTTGTGCGGACTATATAAATGAGTGCGGGAAGTGGTATGGGGGTTGTTTGTATGCTTGCTCCTCATATTGTTTGTGCTGGGGAAGAAGGAAGAATTGAGTATTGATTGTGCCTTGTGGATTAGTCTTGATCCGGTTTGTACTGGAGGGAGCGTCTGGCCAACTTTCACCAAGCCACCATGCCCGACGACAAGTTATGCCACTACGACATGTTCGAGATCGATTTGTGTGGATAATGTTAACGAGTGTGGGCAGATGTTCGGCGGCTGCTTGTAGGCTGCCCTTTTCTGATAGCCGCCGGTATATACTAACAGGACAGTCTGGACCCTGTGTGCACCGGCGGAACCAAATGGCCCACCTTCACCAAGCCACCGTGTAGCACTACTACCACCACAGAATCCACCACCACCACCGGTGCTTCAACAACATGTAAGCGTGCCATTTGTGCCGATTATGTCAATGAATGTGGGCAGATGTATGGGGGTTGTTTGTATGTTATCACCCTTCTCTCTTCCTACGTAGTCCGTCCGCGGTTAACCGTTTTATAGCCTGGATCCGGTATGCACGGGTGGAACGGCCTGGCCAACATTTAGCAAGCCTCCTTGCCCAACGACGAGCTGCAGTCATTCTATCTGCTATGACGGGATCGACAAGTGTGGACAGTTCTACGGCGGTTGCACGTATGTCTCTTCTACTCTATTGTTGAACACGGCTCACCTGGTGTTACAGGCTTGCACCGGAATGCGGAGGCCCCAAAACCCCCACCTTTTCGAGGCCGCCTTGTCCACCGACAACTATCGCGACATATAATACCACAACGGCATCACCGACATGCACTGTCTCCCTGTGTGTTGACGGAATAGACGCTTGTGGACAGGGCTGGGGTGGTTGTTTGTAGGTTTTTCCTCACGCAGAATTGAACGTTGCTGACCCCGAATAGCCTTGCACCGGAATGTGGTGGGAAGGAGCCTTCGTGGACTAAACCACCATGCACAAAGACAACCGCTACCCCGACTGTGACCAAATACACAACCACTTGCCCCCCTGGACAAGCTGTGACTAAGTTTGTGACGAGAACTTTAACATATACCCACGGGCCTGTGAAGACATATTATGCCGACCCAACCGTTCTCTCATCCTACACTTCCGTCACATACTATGGTCCGGGGCCAAGTTCTGTCCCCAATCCGTACATTCCAAGCAACACGCATAACTCATCCTCCTACGTCCCAACTGGCACTGGCCGTTGCATAGCTGCACCATCAGCCGGTTTGGACACTACTCTAGATGTTTGCCGCCCCCAAAGTTACAACCCACCTTACCACGCTAACATGGATAGTTCGATGACCTTTACGATGGAATCACGTTTCAACCACGGCCACCCTATAAAGGCTTCAATTTCTCTAGGTCCATAAACCGCGCGGCGCCGCTCAGCATTGGTAAAGCCAGGAATAGCCAATTTGCAATGGACGGTACCCGAGCTGCAATAAGCAGTTATCCTGCTTGGCTATATGTTCATAGAGCTACCAGGCAGATGCCTTACCCACCGAGTTTAGACATCATTGCCTTCAGTCAGGATGGTGTACGTTTATGCCTCGTTCCAAAGAGTTGGGCGTAGCGCTAACAAGAATAGGACCCGAGAAATTGTGCGTTTGATTTAAAGTCCTTTTATGTCAAGCCCACGTTTGATTGGCTCAATAACTCGATGATTAACGTTACGGCGTGAGTGTTGAAGCGCGAGGTTGTGTGGTTCATGGCTAATGGACGGATTAGATATGACCTTGATGGAGGATTTATCAAAACAGAAACCAGGAATGCCGTCGGGGGGTTACTTTTTGATGTCGAAGGGCAAGGCTTCGAGGGAATTGGGCTGCTCACAATTTTGGACCTCACAAGCGAAGGTTACTCCATTGATGATATCAAACTCACAAGTTAGCACATCCAGTGTCCTCTCCTTGTCGAATTATACTTGCGCGACAACTAACCACGCCCATTAGGCCGCTGCTATGCTTTCCCCGAACCACCTGCAACATGCCCAAGGGAAGAATATGGTAACTGGAGGGTTTTCACCGAAGACGTATTTCCACCCTACCTCCTCTCCATGCCTAGCTGACCCTCTACAGTTTGAACTGGTCCCAGGCTCTCATAATCTCCCGAGCAATCATAGCATCCCTGTCAACTATTGGGAGCCCTATGGAAACCTCTTCCTCCGCACCCACTTCGATCCACCCGCCCTATCAAAAATATCCGACCCGGTCCTAGGCACCAGTGAAATGTTACATACAACCCCGGACGTCCTAAACATAACACTCTCCACGAAATGCGATTTCCAGCTTGGCGCCCTCTCTGTAGTACCCGACGAGCCCGCCGCCGGAGGTAATATCATCATCGAAGGATATGATTTCCATAGCGAACTCGCTTGGACACACACTGAGGCAGTGTCTGCGACGGGCGGAAAGAAGATAGATATGAGAGGGAGTGAATACTCGTCGGTCTGGGGGCTGCGGATTAAGATTGTTGTCCAGGAGGAGAATAGGACAAGGTTGATGGGATTTGCTATTGATGACGTGGTGATGTCGGGGCACGTTTAATAGGGTATGATCGGGAATTAGGGGGAAGAGGGGGAGAGGACGACGGCTACGAGGGTCATGTTTTTAAATTAATGAATGGGAGGTTATAATTTTGGTCTTGCTGCATGAGCGAAGCGTGAGCCACTAACCATGGGAGACGAGTGATGATGCGTGATTCGGCAAAAAAGAACACGACACCATTAAACACACCCAACAGAATAGCTACACTCGGGAGTGCATGCCAACGCCAATCGACACATTTCTAATTTCAATAGAGTACAAGGTGACATGCAAATGCACTCCCAATTACCTCAAAGAAGAAAGAAAAAAAAGAAGAAAAGAGACACCCAAACCCACGCCCAGGAAAGAAACAACAGCCACATCATTAAACGTACTCGTACAGTAACCCCCCCATAAAAACCACCAGTTCGTTAAATCGGCTATATACTCCTCCCCCGCCTCAAAGCATCACCAGCCGATCCCAAGAATTCGTGATTCTCTCTTTCTTTCTTTCTTCCCTTCTTTCCTTCCTCCAGACAACCATCAATTTATGATAGTATATGATATAGTACAGTACACTGTTCCACCTCCCCTCGCTCTTTCCCCATCCCGGTGGCCTACGGTGCACCTCTTGGTTTCGGGTCGGATGACACTCGTTTCCGGGGGTGGTCGTTGGGGATAGGTATTGCCGAGAAGGGGAGGCGGTTTTTTTCTTTTTTTTAAAAAAAAGGGGGGGGTTCACAGGGCGCTGTGGGCAAGTGATGATTTTGCCATCTTGGGTTTCATTGATTTGGTATTGAGCCCTCCTGTGCTTAGCTTTTCAACGTGGCTTATCGGCTCTAGTAGATTGTGGGTGGGAGCGTTGTCTCATGGATCGGATGTTGTTTTGGGGAGAGTATTAAGGATTTGATAATTTTTCAACGGATTGCGAGATTTTTTAAGGTTGAGGATAAAGTTTGCTTTACGTTTTATGATACAACTACCCACTCACTCGCTTATAGCGAGTCTAGTTAGACTATCCCGTCTGCGCCCTTACCGTACTCCGGCCTCGGATCCTACGTGCCTGGTGACTGGAGAACGTAGCATCGTGGGGTAGAATCCCCACCTCGTGGCCCGCACCCCGCCAGGGCAGAAACATCCCTATCTCCTCTTCCCACCCCCCTCCCGCGCCAGTCATCCGGGATTTCCTCATCCCGGGAGGGGGGGCTCCAGTGTCACCCCGGGCGAGTCACCGTAGGCGTTTCCTACGATGGCGGCGCTAACGAGCCGACACTTGACTAGCGAACGTACAGATTATGTAATATGAGGACGGCGGCCAGGTCGCCAGCCTCTACAGCTGGACGCGGTGGCGTGTGGTCCGAGCGGTCGATGGGGAGGTCGTTGATTTCCAGCTGCGCAAGAAGGCAGGGCACGATGTTGTGGCAGGAGTTGGGCGTTGCGGGATGTAGGGCCGTCATGCCGTCCACCTCCCCCGGCTCGTTGAGCAGATGCTGCTGTGAGAACTGGCATCTCGGGTCTGCAAGGAGGGTTTCCACACTCACGAGGTTGCCATTGGCTACCGCTGCCTGGAGGGCTGTGCGGCCCTTGCTGTCCGCCCAGCTGCAGTCCACGCGCGAGTCCCCGAGCAGCAAACGGATGATGGCCGGGTCGGTCGACACAGCTGCCGCAACGTGGAGAGGGGTTTGGTTTTCGGCGTCAGGGAAGTTGACGCCTATGTCTTGCTTCGCGAGGAGGACTTCAACAAAGGGTAATGCTTGTATTCTTACCGCCTCGTGCAAGATTGTGCGGCTTTCTCTGCTGCCGTGGTGGAGGTCCAGGCGGTTGGTTGCAATCAACTCGGTGAACAGACCCAAGCGATTAGTGAGTAGGAGGTGTAAGAGTAGCTGGAAGCTTTCCATGTGACTGTTTGAGGGACTGTTAGCTTTATTTTTGATCGATTGGGGAAAGAGGGGGGAAGGTGACTGCAAAGGTGACCTGAGTAATCACTTAGAAGCCAAGGACTTCACCACCCCCACCACACCGAACAAGACACGACCCCTCCCCCTGGCCGGGGGCCTCTACCAACAAAAACACTTAGAGAAGTTCATCATCAACTAAATCCCAAACCAACCCAACCAAATCATCCTGCTTATCGGCAAGAATAATATACAATGACTCAAGCATTCCATACCTAATCCCATCACCCAATTTCTGAATCCCCGCGACAACCCCCGGCCACTCCACCAAAAGCTGCAGTAAATCCCACCTCCCGGCGGCAACAGCACGGAAGATGACCGTATTCCTCCATCTATCCAGCACATCAGTATGCACCCCGCACTCCAGCATTAACACGACCGTAGATTTAGACTCGGTGTCTATGGCATCATAGATGATCCTGTCGCAGTCAGGTGGGTGCTCCGCTATTATATGTCCAGGATCCCCCGGGAGAGGAGCTCCTTAACGCGAGGCCTGTCGAGTTTCCTGGCGGCGGCGTAGAAGGCCCGACGGGCTAGGTGCGGGGAGCGGGCGCGGAATATGCTGTCAGTCAGGGAGGTGTCTAGAGTGCGGGAGAGGGAGCGACAGGTTCGCAGTAGGGTAGCTATGTCCTCAGAATGAAGGTGAGTAGCCACCTCGAGGAGGAGCTCGGGGGGGAGGTCTAGGAGTAACATTTCTGTTTTTCTTAATTTATCGCCTCTTATTTGTTTGGTGGTACTGGCAAGGTTCGTGGTCCTGGGAAAGGCTGGCGTGAGATGAGGAAACCCGGAGACGCGATGGTTATTGGAGTAATCTACCAGGTACTTGTAAGTTATCGTATGCTGGGTGAGAGAGAATACCGTATGTTGTCTTGGCACCAACACCTCCACTCGCGAATTTCATAGGTAGATTACCGTATCCGGAGTCCGGACACCTGAATGCCAAGACATCCCAATAACGCAGACCCCGAGCACCAAGATCTCCTGATCTCTTAAACTCGAGAATAATACATACGAGTACCTGGCGATTTTCAAAGTCTCCGGAATGTCAGTTATGGGACCGTTGCCCAAGAAAATCCGCAAGTTCCCGCAAATTTCCGTGAGGTGAAGCCATCTATTAACTTACACCACAAGTGAACTACTTAACTTATTCAGTTTCCCATTCCGGTGACTTTTTTTAAAAAAAAACATCGACTATCATACCGTATGCCCAGAGCCCTTTCTTTACTGGCCCGCGCTCCAGTGTATGTAAATTTACTCGTATACCACTTCAAACAAATGGTCGGCGTGGGAAAAGGACTCGGTAAAAATCAGGAAAAAAAGAAGAAAAAAAAAGTATACGAAGCCCCACAGTGGGGTGGTTCATGGACCATCCATCACCCGGGAATTGAGTGTACAGTACTAGTACTAGTACTGACAGGCTGCAGAGGGGGGAAACAGCTGTGATACCGCAGTATCATACTCGTAGACTCTTGACTCCCGACCTTGATTAAAGTCGGGTGCAATGACCTGAAAAGGAGACTATCATAACTCAGGAACATTGCGGTATCCTACCGGTAATTCCTCCTATGTTCTGCATTCCCAAAAGTTCCCAGTGGCTCTCTAAATCTTGTCGTATCGTACCCTCTGCCGGATCTGTCCTTTGTCACAATTGCTTATTCCGGCCGTTACTTTTCTTTTGTTAAGGACAAAGGGAATCACGTTTTCAACAATTAGCGATTAGTATGATATCATGTCCACAGTTTCCCTCCCCTCTCCTAAGGATGTCTCATGCTCCACCCCGATAACAGTATCACTCAACGGACAATAACATAAGTGTGATATAGATTTGCCCTGTAGGTACGAGTATGATGGATAGGAGAGGTTTTCATTCCTGTGACGGTGGTACTTTTACATGAAATGCGCCAGTTGGAGCAGGGGTTGAGGTGCTAAGAACTGAACAATCCCGGTGCGATTGGTTATAAGAGGAGCCTGGGATTTCAACCCCCCATATCTCATGGGTTATTCTTGAAAGACCAGTCATGTACTGTACTGTGTAGTGGGTGTTGAAGAAAAATCCTGGCCATATGGGACCTGGGAGACGTAAAGACCCTAGCATCATCCTAAGGTAAGGCGAGAGGGCTTGCAGAAGATGGGTATCATAGAGTTAGTCTCTAGGCTATACACCCGGGAGCCCAGGAGAAGTGAGAGACAGAAATCGGAAAGGAGGGAAAAAAATAAAAGTTCACCGCTTTTGAGATGTAGATGGAGCTACAAATGTGATACAAACCATATAAGTTAATATAATCTTCAATGTGAAAATTGGTCACTGATAGGAGTAGTAGAGCTTTACAATCAATCCGCATCTCCGCGATTGATCCCCTTGCGAACTGACAATCTTACATTCCCTCAAACAAACAAACAAGAAACCCCCCGGGGGAATAATTACTCCTATTATAGTATAATATCGTGAAATACAAGTGATAAGATGAGTGGAGGGTACCATACAGAAATTAGCATCAGGGAAAACCCAAGCATCCTAGCAAGCCATCATCCGAACTCCAACTATTCGAAAACGGCACCGGGTTAGCATAAATGGGAATGCCAGCACGATACTAATTAGAAGAGATAAATGGCATCCAGGAGACTTTTTTTTTCTTTTTTCTTTCAACCGTGGCCCCTTGTATGATACTCCCCTCCCACTGGCAGCAATTTAACCATACCAGTATCGCGCAACATGATTTAGCGAATTCCGAATAAAGGTGCCCACGGCGGACTTCTTCCCAAGAAGGCTTCCCGATACCACACGACACTATTCCCTCGGGGAGGAGGCCATGACAACATTGACAAGTGAATAGTTAGTTATACGGTACACCCATCACTCCTGTAATGTACTGTACCTGTCGGTACCGTACCATACGGGGGTAAATATAAAGGCCCTGTATCACACACCCCCCCTCTAAATCCTTCCTAGCTGTACGTAGGTCGGTTGTCTAGCAGGGGTGGACCACCCAAGTTCCATACCGGTATTCCAATTCCTTTTGGCAGGTCCACTCACATCCTCCACCAAAACATGAAAAAGACATTGGTATCATAATATGCAACTCCCTGAAAGCTGTAACACACACACACACCCGGTATCACATGGTAGCTTTCTTGATCTGATATATAGCCATGAACGGGACCGGTATGGCAACCCGACGAAGCGGAGTGAATCGTGGGTTACGCTGATCAATAAGACGGTATTAGACACAATAATACCGTACCGTAGCCTTCCCCGAGTCCCACGTGCTGAATCAAAAAAATCTGGGTCTACTTACCTCCACCTCGAGTATCATTATTATACGACAATATTATGATAACGAAAGACGCCACCGCCGGTCCCCTGAAAGTTACTCGTACAGCACCACACACACCCCTCCGTCAGAGACGCAAAAGCGCACGGTAAGGGGCTACCGGTAATGGATTATATGCCAAGCGAACCAGACCAAGGAAGATCGTCAGTCAGTCACTCAGCGCATAGAGGCAACAACCCACAGCAAAAAAAAAAAAAAAAAAAGGTAAAAAAAATATCGTGGGAGAATAAATAAATTACGGTGTGATGGGACCGCACCCTACCGGGGGGTTACTGGACTGCTCCGGATAGTACACAAGTCAGTGCCTGCGTAGCAACAGCCCCGACTTCTCGCTCGATACGGAGATAGATAACACACATCTTCCTATGGCCGGTAGTGATGCCTGTCTATTCCAGGGTGTAAATTTAGAGTGCTGTACGGTGCCGTATTTCACATGTCCTCTTATCGGAGAAATGACCCTTCAAGTCTTATAATAATATACGAAGTAGGCTTCACGATGCCCGCATATCCTATCCTACCCCCCGTGTGGCGATCAATGGGAATGGGTCAGGGTTCCGGGTGTTGCCCCGTGCTGTTGGGGTTGACATGTTTTTCGTCCTCGGGGGGGGCTTCGCTCCTCTTTCCTATCCGCTCGCCCCCTAGTCGCTAGCATCAGTGATGGGTCCGGCTCTACCGCGAGGGACATCTTTCCCGAATGATTCCTTTTCCACGGTTACAGGTCCCCCACTCGATAGCATCCCGGGAGCGGGCACATCAAAGGAGCACCCTCGGCGTTGATCCTGTATTGATTGCTATGCCACGACACGCAAAGAGTCATTGAGCAGTGCCCATCATTAATTCTTCAAGTCGGCCAATCGATGGGCCACCGACTGGCCCATCATAATATTATTAACTAAAAATTCCATTACTGTTGTCTGATAGCCGTGTCTCTCCAGACATACATACGTACAAGTACAGTACACCCAATTCCCATATGTCACAAGTTGCAAGCGTATATGTACAGCTCCCCTCCCTCAAGCCGCCCAATCACTCCTCCCCTCCATATACCAACCGAACAGGTTCCTCCCTGCCTACGCACCTCCCGCTGCAAGCTCTATAAACACCCCCACCCGCGCCCCTGCCCTCTTTCACTCTCCTAACTCTCTCAGGGAATAACTCTCTCCACCTCTCATTCCCATATCCACAGGCCTCATTCACATTAACCCCCTCGTTCCACCCTTGATGGTAGGCCAGCGGCCAAGTAATCACCATTTCCCCCGGAAACTGTCGGACAAGTGTACTCCTCACACCCGCCTTCTCGAGCGTCTCCCGGGGTAAATAGATACTCTGATGCCTGACAAACTGCGAGCAATTCCTAGTGTTGGGGATGCTCGCCGCGATAAAATCTTCCAGGGCGGTGAAGCTCCGTGGCGAGCAGACGCGCCAGGATTTGGGCGCACCAGAGTGTTGGTAGTTTAGGGATAGTGCGTTATAATCCTCCGTGTGGAGGGCAAACATGGTGTATGCTTGGCCGATGTATAGGTACGGTGTGTGGATCCCTGTCACGGCGGTTATGTTGTCGTGGAGGACGTTACCCGGGAGCGATGTTAGTTTGGGGTCGGAGAGGGAGAGGTAGCTGCGCAGGTCATCCGTTATGTCGTTGTCTGAGGAGTAGTGGGTTGGGCCGTCCCGAGGTATTCCCGTGAGGATGTTGTTCCACTGACGACCTCGAAAGCACATTTTAATCTCCGATAGAGCGGCGGCGGGTCGGGTCGGGATTCGGATTATGTCTCGCCATCGCGATGCTGATATTGTATGCTTGGTGGATGAAGTTACGTGGTATATCGGAGCTAGGTTCGATTTTGACGAAGGATGAAGGGGCAGCCGTTGGGTCATTGTGTAGAGTTCAAGATCTGGTGGGGCACTATCGCTCTCCGGAGAAGGGATTGGCGGAGAATCATTCCTATGCATCACCCATCAGTCAGCATGTGTAACCCCCATTGCCCAGGAGAAAAAAGAAAGGAAAAAGGGAAAAAACATGGGACGAAACAGGAGCAAGGAAGCTAATCATTATCGTAGATCATGATCCTGATCAATGTGGGAGGGATATGAAGGGGGGAACAAACCATCCTTCGGGAATCTTAATCTTCACAACCCCCATCTCCACCCCTATCGCTTCTAGAACGCCCATCATCTCCACAAATCGGGTTCGAAAGTCCTCCAAAGACGGCTGAACGAGGAATACACCCGGGGCCCGCGTGTCCCACTGGTCCTCGCGTACCGCATTTAACCAATCCGGTAATCTTGGTAACCGTTCCCCCTCGTTGCAAGCCTGCGTTTCCAAACCGATGAACACTCTGTCAAACAACTCACATTCAATGGTAGCTACCGGTAATTTCGAAGAAGAAAAAATTCCATCAACCAATCAGCACACGCGACCGATACAAACAGACAAAGTGTAAAAAGAGGAAAAAGAAAAAAAACGAAAAGAAAAAAAACGAAAAAGGCATAGTCACTCACTACGCCTGCGTTTTTCCCAGCCTTCCTCCTCCTCGTCAGCCTTTCGTTTCTTGTTGTTGCTGTCGCTGCTGCTGTTGTTCCGCCGTTGCCTGGGCTCGCCGAAAATCGGTATACCGGGTAGCTCCTCAGGGCGAAAAACTTCGAACGTGATCCCCGCGTGAGAAATAAGTTTCGCGATTTTTGTGGGAGGAGTGTCGGGATTCTCCATGTTTGAACGGGAAATGGAAAATGAATGGGAAAGGAAAGGGAAGGAAAGGGAAGGGGAGGAGAAAAGGAAAGGAAAGGAAGGAAGGAAAGGAAAGGAAGGAAAGGGGTGGGATAACGAGAGAACAAAGAATGTGAAAGATGTGAAAGATGGGAACGGGGGAGAAAGGGGAGGAAGGAAGGGCAGAGAGGTAGCTTGGATGTTTGAGGTTTGAGTTTGTTGCGTAGCCAACTGGATTCGTTCCTCTTCGTTCCATCCGTCCAGGTTGGGCTATGGGTTATGGGCTATGGTTGTCATTACATGCGGTGCAGGTTTGCGGTTGATAACTTGGCCTCTTTTTTCGCCCTTTGTCTGGGGCGCAGGGGATTCCGAATCTGGAAGTGAGATAGCTAACTGCGGATGATCTGCACGTGCTAAGCGATCCACAACTCTCACTCGGCACAGCATACTCTACAGTACTCGTACAGCATTGTTTCCGCTTTCCCTCGCAGTGCTCGGGTATCCGTACAGTACAAAGGGCCATCACCATGACGAATAATCCTCCCAACCCATCACCGTTAATCCATCCCTTGTCCATAGTCCATGCTACTCGTAGGGTACCTTTATTCTAAATTAGATTTCGGCGGGAATGAGTTTACTCGAGTACACTCGTATATCCACCCTTAGCACACTCGCCTGTAATACTCCGAATCCCGTTCCACATCCTTGGTCGGGCAAATCCCTTTGTTTCGGGAGCTCGCTTGCCGCCTCGCTTACCAGTGGTTTACCCTGGGGGTCACCCTTTTTCTCTCGTTTCCACCCCACAAAACGGGAGGGGGGAAGAGGTTAAGACACTTGTCCATGAGTATTTGCCCCTCTTTAGGGGAAAGACTCTATCATATGGAAGACAATCCTATTGTCGTTCCCCCCTCCCGTCGTAAAAACCGGTAGGAAATGATATCGCCTAGCGTACGCGACCCGATTCCATCGTGAGAATGTTACCCACGCTATGACGGTACGTCGCTATTACTATACCCGGCTCGACGGGACGCAGTAACCTACGATCCCGATTTTCCCGGCGAAGTGCCCTTCTTTCAAGGTCCACGATTGGATCAGGATGATATGTGCCAAGTCGGTGGTTATCGGTTCTGTTGAGAAACTAATGTACTGGTTCCTGGTACCAGGTGTCGGATTGATGAACGGCGATGAATGAACCACAGTCTACCGAGCCGTGGCACAGAGCTTGCCATGCCGCGCAGGGGAAACCCTTGGGTGCCCCGCGCTCACCAATGATCCGTCCTACACTAGCTAACTTTACCATTCCTGCTTTCGGAATGGGAAGGTGAGAGAAGCTATGGTGCCCATCCGCCGGCTTGACTTCCCCGAGGGTCGGGGGATGCGATGTCGCTGCTGAGGAACAGGGGGGGGGGGCTCCTTATTGTTTGGGACTAAGCTTTGTGGACACCTGCCCACGCAGCTCATATTGCCGGAGTTTTAGAGGAAGTGGTATCATCATAGCCCACAAGATCACGGACACCGTCTCCCCTTAGTCTCACCCGCCGGGGGTGGGCTGCGGTCAATAAAAACTAAAGCGCGCCAATTGCAGAATACCCCCCTAGCGTAGTCGGGGGTGGCAACAATCGCTCCGGGACCGTAATGTGTACGAGTACTGTTAACCATAAGAATAGCAGGGTCATCACTTGTATCCCGTAGCTTAATTTGATTACTGGACCTATGTTTAGAAGCCGGCCTTGAGCTAGAGAATCTTGGACACTGGGCCATTGGGAAAGCTATTTTGTAGAGGGTTAGACACTACCTTTCTTTCACTCCTCCTAGGAGAGAGAGTCTCTTTTTCCCGACGTCTTTGCTCCGAGGTGTGTGTTACGGTAGGCGTTGTCTTGGTAGGTAGGGGGTACTACAACGACGAACCCCCCAGTGCCGGTCGCTCCTCTAGATGAGAATCGAGCTCAGCATGAATTTGTTAGGCCGCTGGTTTTAGACGCACCATCATGGAATGCCGCTCGTGGCACTTGGGGGGTATTGGGGGATTCGCAAGATATCCACTGATAACTAAGACCACCATATCCCCGGACCACTCTTGCCAAGGCGGCAAAAGGTCAAACACCTCTCTGTCGGTTCAGCTCAAGGTGGGGTGTTGGGAGGTTACGAATTCTCCGACGACGAAAAAGCTGGTACGAATATATCACACGGAACTGTGGGTCCAAAGCCCCGGATTCCCTCTCGATCCAAGTTGAAAGGATCTCGGGGCCGGCACAAGTGATTGATACATCGCCACCACATATTACATCAACCAAACTTGGGACTTATGATGGTACCTTCGTCCATTCTGGGGGGCGGATACCATAGTGGGGTGTTGCGGTTTTGGGGGAGGATCCAGAGTTTGTATAAAGTGCCATGGCACCCAGGAACGGGCAACGTCTTTTTTTTTGGCTCCCCGCGTTCGAAACCACAGTTACCATTGTCCAATCTCCAAACTATCCTTCAACTACCATTCCTTGGATAAGAAAATAATGAGATCCACGGCTCTTATCATTGCAATTGCCTTCCTGGCAGCACTAGTTGCTGGCCAGAGCAAGGTTTGATACCCCCTCATACTCGGCCTATGACACTATTCTGATATTCTATAAAAGGTCATGCAGATTGACGATGGTCAAGTCCAAGGCCCTGAAATACACGCTAGCTACCCGTGCCCAGTATTGAAGCCCCCCCGCGTTTTCAGCGAAACCTTCTAATGAGGCGAAATAGGTTACGACAATTACTCCCTGCCCGATAATTGCTCCGCCTGCTCCCCCGAAGGTAAGTGGCGCGAATTCTTGCTCCGGGCAAGCCCCAGCCGCCTCGAGGTCTGGGGTTATGGTACACACTGATAATGGGCAGATCCAGATTCATAAACCAACCCCCAGTGCTCCCCCGGAAGCACCATGCCCCCCAATAGCTTTTGAAGGCGGTGCCCTTGCAAGGAAGTACCCCGTTGGCGGAGCAGTCGCAGCGGGTGCTGTTGCTGTTGCTTTCGCAATGATTTAGATATGGGAGGGGAGGGAGGGATATTTCGAATGAGCTCCTTCAGAGTTGTCGCCGGAAAGGTCTTGGTTATCGTTCTTAGGTACCGTGAGCTGCAGGTGGCCAGGGAAATGCAGGCTGCGAGAAATATTTCGTGTATTGTGGTTTGGGTAAGGTCCTCGTTATGTATCAGCAATCTAGAAGAAGAGGGAAGGGTGATATGGGGAGGCGGGAAAAAGGGATGGAAGGGCATGATGCTCACCGGGACTGCTAGCAAACATAGTGGCAGCAGCCTGTGAGATACTTTTGCGGTTGTTGCGTCATCAATCAAACTGTTCGATCCCATCTTTTATTTGATACCCCACGTGTGACAAACGAATTCGTCCCGAAATCCATACTACCAAGTGACTCTTGGAGAAGAGGCAGGATGGAAAGTCGTCAGTGACGAGAATTACCGGTATGAGTGTTAGCGCTGGAAATATCGTCCATTAGCGGTTTTCTCGGTAACGGAGCAGAGGGAGCACGGATGATTGTCCTTTGATCCGCTATCGTCTCTCAGGGAGGGACTAAGTGGAATGCATGAACCATGGTGGTTGAGGTTCTAACCCCGGCGATATTAGATATGATACCCAACAATGCCGATAACAGCTGGTCACGGTAGGCTATCGCCTTCATCCCTGCCAGTGGTTCGAGGGATGGATGGATAATACAGAAATGTCTTTCATTCATGAGCGCGACGTGCGGGATCCGGGCGGATGCGTACCACACCAGCTCTCCTAACGTGACGACTGCTGCTGCACACGACCAAAAATTGGCCAGAGCCTCGTAAATTTGGTGGCATCCAATACGAGAATTGTACCGGTATTGTAGATTTCCTACTCGTGAAAGCTGTGGAAAAAAAAACCCTTTCCTTTTTCTTCCGGAGCTCCGTTTGGCTAGCGCAGCTCGAGAATTCACGGTAGGTTACGAGTATATCTGGTTCTTCAAAGCGAAACTTTCAGCACAGCCCCCGGGGAACGCTATTGCGCAATCGCAACCAAGCTCCGGAAAAAAAAAAAGAAAAAAAAGGGGAAGCTGTTGGCTCCCGTCCGCAACCTCGAGGATTCCATGAATGCGGGGATACCACGAGTGCAGTACAAGTACTGGTAGCAATACGGGCACTCACAACCCTTTCTGCCTTTCCTCCTTCTCCTCTCCTTCTCATTCCCCTTCTCTCCCTTCCCCTCCCCCTATCTCTGCTTCGCTATGGCTGGCTGAGTAAAGGTAACCGGTACCAAGGGACGGGTGTGCCTGATTGTTCTCAATTCGGTTGAGCATTAGGTCACAGTACCCCGACCTTATGTTCCCGTCGCAGTGTTTGCGACCCCACCGTGTTCTGTCGGCTCCTCGATTATATTGTAGGTAATAGAGACTTTGCGATTTCGCATCCAGAGAGTCAAATCCTAGCGATCTCGTTGGCCCGGAACCTCGTTTGACCCACATCCAGAGACCTTTTGCAAAGTCCCTAATAACGAGGTTCGGGTACGGGTACCGTTATCCGGGAGTTGATCTGGTTGCTAGGCACCACGGTGCCGCAAAAACTGTAAAGTAGTACAGTGAAACCTCCGTTATCTCCAGGACGTGGGGAGACTGGATTCCTTGGAAGTAGAGGGGGGATGGAAAATAGAGGAAAGGCTTGGCAGAATAAAGGGGGGAATTGAGAGAAAAATGAGTGATAGTTCATGAAAGCGTACAGGTTTTAACTCCATATGTTTACATTCCAGAAAAATAATACACCCCTTCCATCTGATGACCCTTTATTCTAAAAACACGCATATCCATTCAACTCACTATCTAGTTATCTGACAATTTGTCTACAGCTTTGCCCAGGAGGTGACATGAAAAAGAATTTTATGCACATGAAACCTGGAATTTAGGAGCCATTTACTGCCTGGAAAGAGAAACTAATAGAACCCTAGAACTTAGAGGAGGAAAGCCCATAGAACGAAACCTGTCCCCGACAAATGATAGAAATACCGGAGACCTGGAAACATCGGAGGGTGGAGTTATCGGAGGTTTCACTGTACCTGTATTTTGAGAATCTTGCTAGGGGGCTGGAGCAACCTCTCCCAGCAAGGTCTGTTGTATTTTTCCTTTTGTTTGCCCCAATCGAGGGTTGGGGGGAATCATCTTGCCGTGTTCCTCCCCAGGCTCCCCTTGATCCAAGGGGGGGAAGTTCTGGACGCCCTGCCCTCGCTCTCAACCACTCTGGTCCTTGCGGTACGGCAGCAACCCTCCTCCTGCGCATAGCCGCGGGGTGCTGGGATCATGGGGTATCATCCGTGGTCTGCTATGGAACAACCGCAAAGTTACAAGTACTCGTACCTGGTACTGTACTCGAGTACGACCGGGCACGGTGCTCGCACAGTACCATGCTCGAGCACATGGGGGATTACCGGCACTGTCAAACAAGGAATTAAAGTTCTCGGGCTTAGTCTAATTGTGTTATTGAAATCCTGCTGCTGGAGATTACAGGTAGGGGGTAGATTTTAACACAATTGCGGTACCCTATCCTCCGGTGCGGTTGTGGCAAATCGAGAACTGCCAGTGTACTAGTAAATCAACCCTCATCATGCTTAAGGTTGGGCATCGTGTTAATTGGGACCAGGTGGGCCGTTCCGGATAGTGGAGATGACTCATCCGATGCGGCTACCGACACTCACTCTACGGTATGGATCATGAATCTCGGATTCGGATGGAATGCTCGTATCATGCTGCCGCCCTTGATGCCAAAAGCGGTGTGATATGTGAATCTCGCCGCGGACAAGTTACCGGGGAACACTGGCTGTGTAGCGTAGGGTAGGGGGAGTTGTGGCGGGTGCTCCCGCCGCACATGTCCCGGCAAAGAGACGGTTGTCTGGAAGGGATTCCCCTTTTGGCTTGATGATATACGGTATGAAGGCTCGGCGTGTTGATAAAGTGAGCCCTTGAACAACGCGCCCTTGTGTTACACACACATCATGCTTTGACGCGTCTTGCCTGTCTGCTCGAGTAAAGTCTTTTCGTCTTTTTTCCTCACGCCTCCCTTTCCATGCGGTAGGGAGCTTTGCGAGGGATCATCAATTCGACTTCTAGCTTCATTCCGTGTCCACCAGATCGAAGTTCCTTTTGATCCTTTTCCAATCTTTAGTTATACCTTTAATTTATTTACCTTCTCGAAAAGGTCAGTTTGCCTTACAAATCAAAGGAAGATTCGTTGTGGGAGTTGAGTCACAGCGATTGAGGATCAAATACCTCCTTTTTTTCGCCCCTTACCTTGCCTTCGTCACCAGTTTATGGCTAACTATTGATGTTGAAAGGAATCAGTTTACTGTAAATTCCTCGGGTTCACTTTGGCTTTTTCGTTCTGTACTTTTACGACTGAGACATGACTGCGTCTTCAAGCCGTGGGCGAAGATCGGTTACAGCAGCTACCCAGTCGGGTGATGATACTACCGAACTGCGGGGTTCCGTCTCGAGTGAGGATGGGCCTGTTGTAAAGCCTAAACGACGACTCCAACGGGAGAGGCCGAAACCTGTTGTTGATAGCGATGTCGATAGCGATGGCGATGGGAAGAAGAACGATGAATATCTCGACGACGACGAAGATGAAGAGGAGAGGGAGACAACACCGGCGCGGAAGAAAGCGGCGATTGAAGGGGGAGAGAAATCAAGGTTGTTTATGACAGCGGTTGAGGGTGAGCTCATATTTCATAATCCTGGTCTTTGATCTCCGATCTGAACACGACTACGCATGTTTTATCGTTTATCTTTTCACTTTGTTCTGGCTGGCCATCGTCCTCTCTTGTTTATTGTGTCACCGCGCTCATACTGTCCTCTGGGAGTTCTCTTTGACTTATTCTGTCATCTCGTTTTTGGATCCAGACTAATAAATGTGTTGTAGTTCCTGTGCGGAAGTCCGTGGTAATGTCGCCCGTACTTGGATCCGCGTCGGCCAAAAAAGCAACTAAACAGCTATCTATGGACAATTATTTCGGTAAAGCGGCGAATCGTGCTCCTATAATAGTTCCGGAATTTGTAAAACCAAGAGGAAAGGGCAAAGCCGTGGCGGTGGGAAAGTCACCAGCACCGGCTCCTAAGTCGAGGGTAAAGAGCGAATGGGCGCCCAAAACACCGGTTCCCAAGAAGAGCGCTAGGGCGCACTCTCGATCGGCAAAGGGCACTGACGATGAATCGGATTTTGTTGTGTCTGGCGACAATGAGGATGCCGAGAGTGAGGGGACGGGTGATGTTGCCCCAACTGAAGATGAGGATGATGGCGATGCAGTGATCGACGATGAAATTGACGATATTGTGGTCGATAAACCAAAATCGAGGTCCAAAGTCAGGATCACTGCTACCGGAAAGGTGAAACATGTATCCACCTCTAAGCCCTCGGGGTTGAAGATTGTGCCTCGTGAGGGAGATCTTCCCCCTATCTCCGATTTACAGCAGATGTTCGACGATATAGTTTCGCGTCTTCCTGATCTGAAGGGTCTATTTGGAAAGCGCGGAGGACGCAAATTAAGGGTTGCCACCATGTGTTCTGGAACCGAGAGTCCTTTACTTGCCTTGGGGTTGATGGGCAGGAGCATGAGGAGTCAAGGTTTAGGAAAACTCGAGATTGAGCATGTGTTCAGTTGCGAGATCGAACTGTATAAACAAGCGTGAGTTTGTTCTGGAGCAGCTTTTAAAGTCGTGGTGCTGATGTTGTTAAGTTACATCGAGAGAAATTTTAAGCCACCTATCTTGTTTAGGGATGTTAGAGAACTCGGGGAAGACGTAGCGTAGGTTAATCCGGACTATGATGGTACTCGGTAGAAACTAATAGTTGTAGTACTACGGCGTACGGTGCCAAGGTTTCCGTTCCTGGAAACGTTGATTTGCTCATTGCCGGTACGTCTTGTGTCGATTTCTCGAATTTGAACAACAAGAAAAAAGGCCTCGAGGATGTCGGGGAGTCGTCAGACACTTTCCATGGAATGATGAGATGGGCAATTCGTCATCGTCCTACAGTCATTATCCAGGAAAACGTGCAGGGTGCGGCGTGGACTCAGATGAGGGCAGAATACGTTGAAGCTGGATATTCCGCTGAGTTTGTACCCAATTTCGACTCCAAAAATTACTACGTCCCCCAAACCCGGCAGAGAGGGTACTTGTTCGCGGTAGATAAGGCGGATAGCGGCATCCCTAATCGGTGGATTGATGCTATGAAAAACCTCCGCCGCCCGGCGACTTGCACCCTCGAGGCTTTTTTGCTTCCGTCCGACGATCCTAGAATTCACCAGGTTCGGATGGATTTAGCGACAAAACGCGATGGGTCTAAGAAGACAGCGAGATCCGTTGAGTGGGAGAAATGCGAAGGCCGTCACCAAAAGGAGCGACTTCAACAAAAGCTTGGTCTCAAGAGACCAATGACCCAGTGGGAGGAAGGCGGAGTCTGTAAGATGTTGGATTTCGCATGGCAGGATTGGGGTGCCATGCAGGTGGACCGTGTTCTCGATTTGATGGATATTAATATGTTGACCCTAGCGAAGGAAGGAATTGATTGTAATTATAAGGAGTAAGTCTGCAAACCTTATTCTTGACATGATGGTTGCTAATATGATGCAGGCAATTTTGGAATCTGTCACAAAATGTCGACCGCAATACTTTCGGAAAAGCCAACGGCATCTGTCCCTGCCTTACCCCACATATGATTCCGTATCTTACAGATCGTGGTGGTCCGATGATTGGGCTTGAGGCACTAGCTATGCAGGGTCTTCCTATAAACGAGCTGCTTTTGACGAGGGAGTCTACGCAGGAGCTTCAAAATCTTGCCGGAAATGCTATGACTTCAACTGTTGTGGGAACTGCTACCCTGGTTGCCCTGTTACTTTCTAAGAACGTGCTGCGATCTCCGGATGACGATGGTATGGATGTCGATGTGGATGACCTGGATATCTCGACGAGAATTGGTGGAGACAAACAACTTAAACAACGACCTCTAGATTTGTCAACTACCCAAGCTTTCAAGATTTCAGACCTATTGAAGTTGGCATCGCGAAGTTCCCGTTTATGCGTTTGCGAGGGCCGGTCGGACATGACCTCTAGTTTGCTTTCTCGTTGCGAAGAGTGTGGCTTTTCTAGTTGTGAGAGATGTGGCGGTAGACCTGAGCACGCATACAAGGTCCTTAACGTTCATGATCGGCTTGCACCTTTGGCGTTTGAGGATATGCTGAAAGGTGTTCTACCTATGCGTTTGGTTGTTGCTGCGATTACTGGGGAGTTTCTCGAGAGCCTGAAGACAGCCAATCCCAAAGCCGCCGGTCATATATCGGCTAAGGACTGGAGCATGTTTATTAGTCTTATGCTCGATGCGACCTCCGGGGAGTTTAGGTTCACGAACCTTAAGCGTCAGCAAATCTGGAGTGTAACTTACGATGCTCCAGCGGCAAAGTTGGAACTCCTGCTCGACCCAAATCAGCCCGAGTGGCGGTTGTTCGCTAAGTGCCCCACATCTGAGGGTGTCAATAGTCGAAAGCGTGCAATGTGCAAAGCGCCTATGGCTCGTATGCGATTATCGAAAGCCCAGGACATTATGGATTGCGGAGTCGAGGTGTGCTTGCCTACGAGATACGATTTTAACCTGACTTTGGTGGGGGAAGGTGTTTTGGTTGAGTCCTGGCAAGCTCAGCTTGGTCTTCAGGACTCTAAGTTTGCCGAAAGAAAAGTCTGGTCACATGTTCGGATGACTGTGCCCGACGAAGCAAAAGAATGTCTTGATCGTGATCTCTCGGGTCTCTGGAAGCTTCTTCCTGCATGTGGGACCTCTAACGGCGCTCTTCACAAGCAGGTTGACAGTGACGGTGGTGCCCAACTTTTCTTCTTCTTGGATCCTACAAAGTGCGGTGAGCCTAAGCATGATCCCTTCGTCTTTTCGGTCAGCCCTAGAAGGTATGCCTACGGAGAACAGCGCCCAATTGTTGCAAAGTTAGATCCTAAGTTCAGAACATTCGGTGACGATAAACCACGGGTTGTCGGATGTCATGTTGATGGACAATGGGTTGTGGCTAAGGGCTCCACCCTTAAGCCGCCTTCCTCTTCCACACAAACCGTGAGCCAGGCTGTTTACGCTACCCCGGGCAAGAGAGGCTTGGAAATCAGCGTTACCAAAGCCGACTGTGCTGTTGCCAATGCTATCCTCACTTGCCGGGTTCCGTTGGAGAACCAAGCTGAAGGGGTATGGCCAAAAGGTGTCTGGAAGCAAGTCGACAAGATCCATGAGAGAAATACGTTCGAGAGCTTGGCCTGGCTTACTGAGCGTGTACGATCTATGCGCCATTTGTCAAACTGGAATGCGCTGGGTCTTCCCGAGGACCACACTAATTGCGAGCGATGTGCCCCTACGCCCCCGAATCTCCGTTGGGTTTTGAAGGGGAATAAGTTCGTTCCCATGGAGGACACCAAACAAGCCGCACCCTACGAACGTGCGCTAAAAAATAGACCCTCACCTTTTGTCACACAATTGATGCTTGAGGGCGACAACACTGGTGTTTTGAGGATCGGTCTGAATATTCCCACACTCGTTCATAGGGCATTGTCAAGACTTCCATCTGAAGGTAGAGAGGAAATGCCGATGCTGAGCTGGCGATTGACCACCGACTATATCCCGGAAACTCAGCTTACGCTTCCTGCATTCGATTTGACAAGTAACAAGAAGGATCAACCGCACACCCAACCTCCGAGATTTATTACCAAGTTGAGACCGGAGCAGCTTAGATCGCTAAGTTGGATGATGGAGCAGGAGGAAGAGGATGCGATCCCTTTCGTTGAAGAAGAGATTTCTGAGGCTCTTTTGCCACACCTTAATTGGCGAGCGGAAGGAAAGGCGGAGCGGCCTATCCAGATTCGTGGGGGTGTCCTTGCTGATCAGGTCGGATATGGTAAAACCGCAATCACATTGGGATTGATTGATTGCTCTCGCGACAATATCAAACTCCCTGAAGATGTTGATGGTCGTATACCTGTTAAGGCTACCTTGATCATTGTTCCGGCGCATTTAACTAACCAGTGGCCTGCCGAGATCAACAAATTTACCGGTAGCAATACCTACAAGGTAATTAAGATTCAGAGCCAGGCTCATCTTAACGCCTTGACCATTGCCCAAGTGATGGATGCGGATATAATTGTTGTTGCCTCCACGCTTTTCAGGAGCGATAAATATCTTGGTAACCTGGCTGGATTTGCCGCCACGAAGCCCGTTCCATCCTCGGAGGGCAGACGTTTCAACGCGTGGCAGAAGGTCGCTCTTCGGGACCTCAGAGAGCAAGTAAACAATCTTCGTGATGGTGGCGCTGAATTTGTTCGGCAGAGAATCGATGACAATGCGAAGGGCATCAACGATGAAGATAGTGATGCAGAGGAGATTGTGCGCAACAAGCGTCTCATCGGTAAGGCTTATGTCGAAGCAGTCGAGAAGCAGGCCCAGGCCGGTGGAAAGCGCAAGAGGCCAAAAGTTGAAGCCTCGGACGGGGAATTTAGTTCGTCTGCGAGCGGGTCTGGCCCGTCGAAGAAGACCAAGATGGCTCCTGTCGTGGTCGGCGATCCTTGGAGTCTTAGGACGGGTGCTGTGGCGAGGGATTGGAAGCGTATGCACGCACCGCCGTTCGAGATGTTCCACTTTAATCGGCTAGTTGTCGACGAGTATACCTATCTTAAGGGACAAGTGCATGCTGGTATCACCTGTTTGAAATCTACTTTCCGTTGGGTGTTGTCTGGAACGCCACCGCTGGACGATTTTGCCGATGTTAAGACTATTTCCGTGTTTTTGGGGATTCACTTGGGTATTGACGATGATATGGTTGGGAAGATTGATAACAGGAAGAAGATCAAGAAGGACAGGACCAGTAAGCATTACCTGTTACATTGATTTTATCATCTGCTAATCTCTCACTAGGTGTCGAGGCGTTTACGGCATTCAGAGAACTAAGATCGCCGGGATGGCATACGCGGAGGCATGAGATTGCCCAGAACTTTCTCAACCAGTTTGTCCGACAAAATATCGCCGAGATTGATGAAATCCCTTTTGAGGAACATATCGTCCCGGTCACCCTTCCCGCGGCTGAACGCGCTATTTACCTGGAGCTTGAGCATCATCTCCAAGCCTTGGAAATGAACATCCGGAAGTCAAAGATCAAGGTCGATAACGATAGGGATAAAAGATTGCAAGAATCTCTTGGGGATAGTGCGTCCGCTGAGGAAGCTTTGCTTAAGCGTTGCTCTCACTTTGTTTTGGATTTCAGCAAAGAGGACGAGGAGAATGCTGTCCAGGCGTGTGAGGTTATTGTCAAGGATCGTAAACGTCAGCTTACTAGCTGTCGTGAGGAGATCCGTCAACGCCTCGTCGATTGTCTGAAACGTCACAGGGAGATTCCCAAGGATTCCTTCCCTATAGCGTCCGGCGATCACTTTGGCGCCTTCCTCAAGACCACCCTCGAAAACGGTATCGGAGATCCTGAAGCTGGCGAGGACATAGTCGCATTGATCAACCAAGCCAAGGGTAGTGGAAAAGGTCCTAAGCCGTTTTCTGGCATTCCTAGTGTCGTTGGCGTCGATTTCCTCAAACCTAGCAGGTCCTCTAAGAAGGCCAAAGGTAAAGGGAGAGCTGATGACGATGACGATGATGCGGAAGTCTATATAGAGCCCTGGCCGAAAGCAATGGAAGACAAAGTCCAGCAACTCCGCGATCGTACCGCAGTCCTTCGTGCCCTTGTCCGCAAAGAGCTTGTCGGCCGCCATCGCTCGCTCCGTTACTTCCGCATTGTACGTGACCTCCAACAATTCGGCCTCGCCGAGTTTGCAAAGAAGAACTCCATCTCGAACATCTCCTGTCCCGGGTGTAAGCGCAAGAGCCTCCCCGTCTCAGAGATTGCTGTACTGTCCAGTTGCGGCCATCAAGGCTGCTATACATGTCTCGAGGCCGCAGCGCATAAACAGGAGTGCCTAACGTCGGGCTGTGACTCTGCCGCTCGGGTGCTTAACGTTGTTAAGGGCGAGAGTCTGGGAACTGAAGATGCGAAGGAGGGAATTGGTAGACATTACGGAATGAAGTTGGAGAAGATGATGCACTTGGTGCAAAAGCTCATCCCAGCGGACGAGAAGATTCTCGTGTTCGTCCAATTCACAGACCTGATGGAGAAAGTGGCCGAAGTGTTGAAGGAGTACAAAATCGGCTTCCTGCAAATCAAGGGCTCCGCAGCAGCGCAGAGTAAAGCGCTCCAACAATTCCAGGAATCGACCAAGAAGGATAACATTAAAGTCCTGCTACTGAACGTTATGGATGAGAGTGCTTCCGGAGCGTAAGTTCCTTTTTACATCTTTTTTTTCTGAGGTTCCAGGTGCAAAGTGACTAATAAAAATGCGAATAGCAATCTCACAAACGCCAACCACGCAATCTTCCTCTCCCCGCTCCTCACCATGACTGATTACGAGTATAGGTCCTGCGAAACGCAGGCTATCGGACGTGTGCGCCGCTACGGACAGACCAAGAAGGTGCACGTGTGGAGATTCCTGACTGAGAATTCCATCGATGTGGAGATTTTCCAGGATAGAAGTGGGGCGAAGTTTGCGGATGTGGAGAAGTTTGTCATGTAACTGTGTTGGGACTGAAAGCTTGCAAGGGGGGATGGTTTATGAAATGGGGGGTTACGATTCTCTTTATCCTTTCTTTTCTTTCTTGTCTTGGTGTCTGTTTCTTTTTGTTCCTCATTATTCCCTTCTCCTTGTACTTGGTTATATCCTCTCCCTTGGTGATAAAGGCAAGGGGTGAGTGAGAAGTGGATGGGTGAATGGAGTGATGATAGATTTGTACGGCACTTTCGCGGTGGATACTCCTGCTTGACTCTACTTTTGTTTGTTTATTCATTGTGGGATTAGATAGATAATATGTGGGTGAAAAAGTTTGGGTGCGGGTATGATTAGGCTTTATGTAAAAGTTATAAAATCAATGGGACGGTTTATCATGTCATGTCATTCTTGGTCCTGGGTTTTTCTGTTTCGCGAGTATCATAACATGCAGGACAATGTTCAAGCAGGATCGGATCTTTGGTCTTTCTTAGAAAATTTGGGTGATGGCTGGCGTTTGGGACATGGGTAGTTATGTAGTCCTAGAACCGGTGATATCGACTAAACTGGATCGTCGAGTGCATTTAATCGTGCTCTTTCGTTTTCCCGCGTTATATTGGGTTACGCACGCGATCATGGAACATCACTCGCCGACCACTGCGACCAGTCAGGCTTTCGTACTTTGTTCTCGTAATCCCCGCTCCGCCCTGGGACTGCTTTGTGGTACGTGGGGGCTGTAACGGCTGGTTAGGCATTAGTTTGGAGATGGGTTGGTGGTGCCCCAGGGGTAGTGAGTGATTCACTGGGGTACGGCTCTATTCGATCTGTTGGCTGTTTCTGCAGCCAGGGATGGTATCGTTGTCGGTTTTCCGGGTCTTATGAAGAGTGCGTGTGCCTATGCATGGCCGGGGTAGTGCCCCCCCCCCCTTAGAGCCCTTGCCCCGATTGTCGTGACTTGTAGAGTGCTCGGTCGGATTTCCGCAATACTATAGGGCAAACACCAAGGAATCTTGGTGCTTCGGAGGAGAATTATATAAGGCGACCGTCCCCCTTTCTTTCCCGACAGTCTCTGACGTCCACATCTATGACTGAAGATCGGAGCACATTTTCTTTTACCACCTTTACCACCTTTACCACCTTTCTCTCTTTCTTCTAGGAATCACCTCCTTGTAGTTGGGGTCTCCTCTTATAAATTTTCTCCTATCATAGTAGGAAACATATTTAGGTTTGCTATCTCTCAGAAATACTCTCCGCTTACTAGGAATCTTCTTTACCATTTTTTATTTTATTCTCATATAAGGTGCACTCAATACCTGATGGAAGCATCACCTCTCAATAGGAATCTTCTTTTCCTACTGGTAGAAAAGACATTTACTATCATTCAGAGATGTTCTCCTTTTACTAGAATTTCTTTTCTAACAGGTATTTCCTTTCCTTTCATTCTGACCTGTTCTTCTAGTCATATACATATTTACAACCTCAGAAGAATTTCCTATTTTATATGGGAATCTTATCCTTTTCCTATTAGATATGTTTTCTTTTTACTAATAGAAATTATATTTACTATCTTTCAGGAGTTATCCTCTCTGAATCACTGACAGGAATCTTTATTCTCTTCAGTAGGATATATTATCCTTCTATGAGAAATCTCCTACTCCTGGTAATATTTTCCTCCTGATTTTATATAAACCTTTCTCACACTAGTACTAGTAGATAATACATTTACTATCTTCCAGTAATCTTCTTTAAGCCTTAGTTGAAATATTCTCACCCTCCGATGAATTACATTTTCTTCTAGAAAATTTGATATTTTGAGAAATAATTTTTCTTTTAAATGTGTTCTTTTAATAAGAACATAATATTATAATATGTAGTATTCTTGAAAGAAGAAGTTCCTATTTAGAGTTTTATTCTATTTATAGTAATTATTTTTTTCTTTTAAAAATTATTTCCTTTCAGTAGGAAATATATTCAAGTTTAATACCTATCTGAAGTTACTTGCCAGGAATCTTTTCCTTTCAAATATATTTTCTACTATTTGACAATATCAAATATCTTGGATCCTGTTTTAGTCTAAGAGCCTTCCTCTGGTAGGAATATATACTCCCTTTAATTAGATGTATACTACTCTTCTTTCTTTATAGTTTCTTATTTTTATAGAAATTTTATTCTTTTTCCTTTTAGTTATATTTTTCCACTAATGTGACTAGAAATACCTCTTGGTAGTTTTACTTATTTTCAACTAAAATTGGTCTAAAAACTTCTCTTTTCAATTGTTTATATCCTATTAAAAACAAGTATTCTTTTTCTCATATTTTAGGGTTATATTTACTTATTTGTATAATATGAACGTGTTTTTATTAGAACCTACACTTGGGCACTCAACACCAAACAAATTTTTTTGGCCTAGAAAGCTTCATAGACATGTAGAGTATATATTCATCAGTTCAAAAAATATTCATGAGCCTTATATACTGTAATTTGCAGCTTCTGAACCAAAAAATGTGAAAAATACCAAAATGCATTTTTTTGCACTAAAAATATCTTGCACTTCCTGAGCATCAGTAGCACTAAATCCCATCTCAATTGGACAACTGCTTCTTGTGGTATTTTGAATTAAAGTTGTTGTATTTTTTTTCTATAAAGGTTTGTTACACAAACAACATCATAAAACAGTACTAAAAATGAAACCCCTAAAGCCTAAAAGTTACAAAATCCTGACAATAATGTATTGTTTAATGTAATAAGAATGCTTTATAGATGTAATATAATGTTATTGAGTAAGTCTTAGGATGTTGCTATACTAAAACATCACATAGAGTTATGGTTAGAGTTAGATTTCTTTACATAGAAATAATTGCTATTTCATTCTGATATTTTCCATGTACTTAAAATATTTTTAAATATTTTTCTCATAAAGTAGTAGCATGTCAAAGTTGGAGGAAAACTAAAACTTGATTTACTTGGAATTATGTTTTCTGATTGCCACACTTCAAATGTGTTTTTCTCGTCTTGGCAAAAAAAGCCCAAGTGTAGGTTCTAAAAAAAATGCGTTCATATTATAAGAGAAATTAAAAGCTATTAAGTACCAACTAATGAAAAAAAAAGGTATGAGATTACTTTAAAGTTATTATTATTCAAGTTAGTTTACTACTGATATGATTGATGTAGTAATATCTTACACTAATATGGTATACTTTAATATGCTAGAATATAGGAATATACTAGAAGAGTTTATATTATTGGATAGTAATGTTTAAGTTTATATATATATTATGGAACTACTTGGAAAATTTCTTATCAAGTTTGAAGATAGAAACTCATTTAGAAACTCCTTAGACTTGGAGTATAAAGTTGTAGAATAAATATAATTTTCTTTTGACAAGACATTTGTCTAGTCACTTTAGTATGAACATAGTTACTATCTCTTAAGGAGATATAAATACTACTGGGAATTGTTATTTTTATTGGAGTTATTATTTTCTTTTTTTAAATATATTTTACTTTAAAAGAAAATATACTTACTATCATACTTTTCTATAATATTATTTTTGACAGGAATCTTTATCCTCTCTAACCTGGTTTGTCTATCTTCTACTAGAAATAATTCTTTAAGTTTTCTTTTAAATATGTTCTGCTTTTAATAGAAGATAAGTATCTTTCCTACTATTTTAAGAACTTCTTCAGTTAGAAGTATTTTATATAGTAAGTTATGGATCAAATATATACTCCTACTACTGGGAAGTTCTTCTTGTATAAATTCTCTTTTTTCTTCTAATATATTTTTATACAAGTATCATAGCTTGAGAAATATATTTATAAAACTTTAAAGAAATAAACCTTCTATTAATTTTTTTCTTTTATATATGCCTGCTGTTTTGGAAAAAAAAGTAACTTCAAGTTCTATGAGTTTTAAGAAAAAAACAGTTTTAGTTTGTATAGCAACTATGATTGTTTTGACAAAATAGTAAAAATACTTTTTGTTGCTCATTAAGCTTAGTTTGTAGTTGTTAGATACTAGTATTTTATTTCTTTTTGCTTAAACACACTCATATTTTGGTTCTAGTAGAAAATATTATCTTTTTCACTGCTTTAGAATTTCCTTCTGATTAGAATTTTTATTCTTTCTAGTAAAATAGATCTTTCTTGTAATAAGTATGAGTACTAGATTATATTTTATTTGTTTTTATATTTTTTTTAAGGTAATACTTAATACATTATTTATTTTATATCTTATTTGAAGTATTACTCGCTACTTTATTTGTTTTATATTTTCTTTGAAAATATAGTTTAATAGAATTAGGAGGTAGTCAACTTCAAAAACAAGTAAATTAAACTGAACTAATTGCAGTCTGGTTCTCTGGGGGTGGTTTTTAAGAAATTACAATAAAATAAAAACTTTAAAGTATTAGAATATTATTATATCACTTGCTTGAAAACTATTAAATGGTTTATCATTTAAGTTCTGCATATATAATAATCAGATCTGAGTTCAGACTATCATTGTAGTAGACTTACTAACTAGACTGCATCAGTAATTGAATAGATACCTCCTTTAAAATCAAATTATTAATTTCCTTTGCAAGGAGTATTTCTATCTACTCAGGACATTTGTAGGTTTTTATAAAATCCTACTTCTTTTAAGCTATAGGTATGAGTCTATACTTTTTTTTTTTCTGGTAGTAACTTTTCATATTATTATAAATTTTGCATTGCAAATACTAGTATGCCAATGCCTTGCCTAAGTTATAGCTCTGTAGTTCCCTCTTTGAATAACATAGTTCTACTTCTTACATCTAGCTAGAGATCATTTTCTATATATTTTGCAAGAATCCTTTGGTCAGACATGTAGGGGCAGCAGATATGGCACTATGAGGCTTGCTTTAATTTTGTACCGTAATACTATTAAGACACAACTACCCTAATAATATCATTATGACCATGCATGTAAATATTGGTATGGGACTTGGAGGTAGGTGTTAGGACCGTGTATTTGCATGATTTGTGGAGGTCCGTGCCCTCATCGGTAA